GAGTTTGAGGTGTGGAATGGAGTGTAGTCCAATCAGCTTCCATATGCAAATAACCTTGGAACGCTGGGCGGGACTGCACAAAGCAGCCAGTCAACCCAGCCAGTGTCTTCTGAGTGGCAGTTTTTCCGGCCTAACACTAAAGGGGCCAAATTTAGAATGTTGCAAAATAGAACGTTGCTATTCAATTATTATAAGGGAGAGATAAATCCTATGAGATAGGTTAGGGCCAGGGGTCATTGGGGGGGGGACGCGGGGGGACGCCATCCCCCCGGGTGAGGTGCGGGAGGGCGGGGCCTGGAGCTCCCTGCTGGTGCCCGCTGGAGGTCGCCACCGGCTGTGGGGAGGACACACTTCTGGTGATGTCAGGGGGTGTGGCATATGCTAATGAGTTATGCTAATGAGTTCCCCTAGCTCTTTTTCTACAAAATGACCCCTGGGTTAGGCTGAACAAAAAGTGACTAGCTGAGTTTCATGGCTGAGTGAAAAATGAACCCCTGTTTCCACTGTGGAAATCTAAGATGCCAACCATTACATGATGCTGCTCCTCTTAGGCTGCGGTCACACACACTAAGTAATCCACTTTCAGTGCACTTTCGAATTGGATTTTGCCAGTTCGCACAGTAAGAAACCAGTTGGAAAGTGCATTGAAAGTGGATTGAAGGTGGATTATTTAGTGTGTGTGACCGCAGCCTTAGTATGGCAGCAGCTCATGGAAGAAGATGTTCTCCTTTCCCCACATTCTGCATTCCAGATAATCCATGCCTCCTGTTGATTGAAGAAATCAACCAAGTCAGTAGCAAAATAAAGCCCCTGATTTGCCTTCAAAATGTCTGTTTGCATTGTGAAAAATCACTAACAGCAAAATGAGAGTTTCTGCAACTTGAAGGTTGTTACAAAGTTTTACTTTTGAAAAGTGGAGAAGTCTGAACTTTGCCATTGAAACCTGAGACTGGCTGAAGCTGAACACTTTGAGCAAGTTGTCGTTTGAAGCTGAATAATCTGGATGTGTCCAACTTGCAAAAGGTCGTCTTTGTGTGAACTACTTTTTCCACCAAAGCCCCAAACTATTCAGTATTTTAATGGAAGCACTTTGCATAGGGCTCTGTTTTCTTGGTGAGAGCTTTTGTGCTCCGATTTAAGTAGTTGGGGAGATTGCTTGTACAGTGGTTCATAACCACGTGGTATACAGCAGTCACATAGACCCTGAAAGATACCACTCTTGCTGGAAAATGCCCTCAACCATTTATAAAGCAATAATCCCATGAGCCCCACATTTATTTCAATTAGAGCTCCTCTGGAGAAGCATTCAACAATAACTTCCCTCATGTAAATGCTACCATATATTTTTAACTGACATCTCTCTACAGCTTGTCAGTGTTCAGCCGATGGCTCCTACCATGACACGTGCGATTCAGCAACAGGGCAGTGTGAATGTCGACCAGGAATTGCAGGTCAGCAGTGTGACAGATGTCTTTCAGCAGCCCACTCCTTTCCTCATTGTCTAGGTAATAATCCCAAGGAAATTACTCTTTTTAAAAGTGTTGTAGAGGAAGTTAGCAAATGTCTCTGTAAGACACTAGATTTTGGGAGCAATCCTAAGCAGGCTGCTCAGAAATAAGTCTCATGGCATACTCCCAGGAAAAGGTTTAGGACAGCAGCCACAGACAAATTCAGCCCTGCTGTACCTTGCAGTAACTTTTTAAAAAGGTACCCTTGCTAAATGTTAGGCACTTGGGCCTGAGAATTTGTGAGTATCTTGGACAGCATGAAAGTGTTACAGTTATCAAAGTTGGATGGCAAAGCAGTGCAGAAGTAGGGCCTGGTTAAAAAAAAATTGCCCAGTTGAGGGAAAACTGAAAATCAGACTACGGAAGAACAGTGATATGGATTGCTGTTTGGTATCTGCTGATTTCCCAAGCAGGAAAGGTTATTGATTGATGTGTAGTTGTTCCATCTGGAATTGCCTGTAGTTGCAGTTCCAGTGAGAAGGAATCCTGGTGGTACAGGCAGCCAGTGTCTGATTTACAGGGTCCATGGATCAAACCCTGAAGTACTTGATGCTGAAAGCTTCCTGTCTGGTTTAGTGAATGGAGAATTTGGCCGGGATTTGAATAAGAAATGTAGCTGCAAATCCCTCTGTGGTCATGGAATTCATTCGCTAGCACTGGTCAAATCAGTCTGGGACAGAATGATCTAGTGAATGAAGTCATACCCACTGCAGTAACTGGGCAAGTCAGATTATCAGTCTCAGTCCCCGATCTGTAAAATGGGAGTAACACTGCGAGTAGCAGAGGTAGTAACAGGACTATTGTGAGACACTCTGCACATAAGAAGGGTTATTCAAATGATTAATTGTAATCTACAAATTCTCATCACCTATTTCACAGGTATGCTAAAACATTTTGTATACTTAGAAAATAAGTATACAAATAAATAACTTTACTCTCAAATAAGTACATATTGTTTTTGTTTTTTAATTGTGGAAAGGTGTCGGCAGTGAGTGTGATCCTGCTGGAACTCTTGATTCATATTCTGTAAGTATATCAGTGTGTATCTGGTTTACATAGACAGAATTCATGTTGGCTTCTTTGGGTTTGTGTTGATAAAGTGAAGGTTATTATGAAAAAAAAAGAATCTATTTACTGACGCTTTGTTAGCACACACTGTCCAAACAGATATTCTAAATATTGGATAGCATTTGGTATCTTCCCAGACCATGGACTGCCTGCTGCCTACTTTTCCCAGATTACTTCACCCCAGTTAAAAAACTCTTTTATGTTAGCAAGACTCAATGTTTTACCCTCAGCAGTATTGTCTGGGAGGTTTGCCAACACTCCCTATTAAGAAAGACTCTGCCCATGCAAAAGAAGGCACCTCGAAATGGTAGCCCATGTTTTACTTCATTGTGATTTTTATGGGGAAGTGCGGGACTGTATAATCAAGCCTATTGTGTCTAACTTTCACAGTTTATCTGAGGCGAAGTTAGTATCCTTTTTACTATCTGACTGATGTTCCCATATTACAAGTTTAGTTGCAAGGTACTTTTTGGCTGCCATAACAATCAGGGAGCAAAAGTTTAGCTTTCCTATCTGATGCTTGATGGATTTTATAATTGAAATTCTCTGTAAATTTGCCATGTTATATCTTTCTTCTTTTTTATGCCAGTAAAGATATTTGGATTGGATTGGATAGGATATTTGTATTACTGCAGATTTGCTTAGAATATAGGCCTGAGGGCAGGGGTTTAATCCTTTCTCCTTGCCACTTAGTGGGGCATGGGCAAGTGGGCTCCAAAGGGAACCTGCTGCCAGTACATAGAAGGCATCATAACAGCAGCCCGTCCCTAGTGTTGAATCTTTCTGTAAATATCTCCTGATTTTTACAACTTGTGAGATTTTAAGGAAGTGTGTGTGTATAAGTAAACTGGAAATTATTTGTAATGAATATTCCTCCATACTATTCTAATTTCATAGGCAAATTTGTCTGTAAGACCCCTCCCCCAACCCCACCCTATACTTTCAGCTCATCAAGCCTGATGGCCCAGAGCTAAGACCTCTATGGATTCCAGCCATGTTATGAACTTGAGATCTGAATTTGGGTTTAAGGCTTACGTTTGCAGTGGACATGCTGTGTTTATCAGAGCAACTTGCTACTTCTCATCATTTTATATAATGGAAATTCTGTTGACTTGTGTTATTGCTTTGTAATAGCTCTTCACTTCCTTGTTCCCATTGCCTATTAGGGCTATTGCCAGTGTCTGCAAAATGTAGAAGGTCCAGGCTGTAGTATCTGCAAACCACTATACTGGAATCTAGCTAGAGAAAACCCTGATGGATGCATAGGTAAGGCTGCACTGACATACTTCGTGTTATGAACACACCACCTGTGCTTTCTTGCAGCTATTTTCAGTTTGATCCAGGTTCTCATGGTTAGCCACTATTTTTTGTTCAGCCGTTAGAGTATCTTGTGAAGAGGTCTTTAAGGTGCCACTGGATGCTAGTGAACTAGAGAGCCAGTGTTTTGTAGTGGTTAGAGTGTCAGGCTAGGATTTGGAAGACCCAGGTTTGAATCCCCATTCTGCCATGGAAGCTTGCTAGGTGACAGTCTCATCCTAGAACACTACTTCACAGGGTTGTTCTGGGCAGGAGTGGAGAACCATATAAGATGCTTGGGGAGAAAGGCAGGCTATAAGTAAAGTAAATGTATAAATTATGAAGAGGTAGTTGCTCGTGCAGCAGTTGGATTCAGCTACTTGTATGTTGCAAAACGTTTTGCTATATATTTTCATCAAAATAGATTTCTTGCAGTTTGGGAGATACTATTGTATAATCCATGATTCCTGCAATTTTAAGACTCTGATCCCTGTTAGAAATAGTGATACTTAACAGATGCTTAGCCTAATTCTGCCCTCTAGTGCTTCTTGATATTAAATATATTGGAGTAATTTGATATATTTGGAATTTCAGCAAGGCATTTAGTTTGGAGAATATGTTTTCATTTGTTCAAGATGCCTTCTGCCTTGTTCATTGGCAGCTTTGCGTTTTGAAGAAATGTAGAACATGGAAATAAGAACCAATAACAGAAAAATAAGTGGAAGTATTTGCAGCAATATGTCAAGTGCCTTTGAACAGTCTAATCATCTGTCTTTGTGAGAATGAATCCTAAAATAATCTTTTCAGTAATGTGCCTCCATCAGTCTAGCCAAAATAATAACAACTTATATTGAACTTACATGACAGCACACTGCACTAAGGTGAGCAGAGAGAGCTCCTGAAAAAAGATTGTCTTGAGGAGAAAAGAATAGTTATGCAGCATGGCACAAATGGCACAAATGTCGGCGATAGCGTTTCAAGGATGAAGAACACACTTCAGTACTTCTAAGAAGCTCCACACACAGATCTCTGGCTCACGAACTATGACCCCATTATTCCAATCCAATCCAATCTGGATTGTAAGTAGGGATCCCAAGTCCCCCCAGAGGGCGGGGAAACCCCCGCCCCAGAGGCCCGTTCCCCGGTGCCACCGGATCGGGCCCCGGGGGGAACTCCACCCCGATGTGCACGTCACCCGGAAGTGATGCGGGCATGCTGGGGGCGGGGCCATGGCCATACAAGGGAAAACTCTATGGTTTTCCCTTGTATGGCCGTGGCCCTGCCCCCAACGTGCCTGGCATCCTCCTGTCAATTCCGGGTGACGTGAGTGCGGCGCAAGACGCCGGCCGGGAGCCCCCCGCTCCCGGCAAAGATAGACTTAGCAACCCTAATTGTAAGATCAGGGGGACCTGGTTCCAGATGTTTTGTTCCTCATATGATGAGAGAGACAGAAAGGGGAGGTGATGAGATCACACACCTTCACATGTTGAGTTTCTGTGGTGGAATATTATATGAAAAGTAACCAGGCCCCTTTGCACACTCCAGGGGAATGCCAGTGATATAAAAGAATTGTAGAAAGGTGATCCAAATAGCTTTATTTGCCTTTGCAGAGTGCCAGTGTGCTGCAGATGGAACTCTGAGTGGAGTTAGAGAATGTCAGCAGGTAAAAACATTCCATTTACAAATAATTGGGCTTACATATTGTTTAAATTTTAGTTGAATAAATCCCTGTGAACAGGTAGCCAGGAAGTCATCCGATATTGCCAATAACAACCTGATCTGCTGTTCATATTTGTGCAGAAATAAGTTCCAATTCAGTGGAACATTCCCAGGAACTGATGTATATGATGTAGCTTAAATAGCCTGCAAGTGAATTCTGCTGCTCCGCAAGCTGGTCTTGGACCCAGATAACCCTCTAACACCAAAAGCTGTGACAGATGTGAAGAGAAAACTCCCATGCCAGTTTATGACCTAGAACCTGCTCTCTTTGGGCTGGCCACATATGACCATGCCTACAAAAGTGGGTACATTTGGGCTTCTTCCTATCCATGTACATGCCCTCCCTGTAGCCACAAGCCAGTTCCCAGCTTATATTGAGAGCTTTTCTTCATGGGTATTTAAATGCAAACTATTTTATTTATTTATTTATTTATTTATTTATTAAATTTTTACCCCACCCTCCCCACTGTAGCAGGCTTAGGGAGGCTTACAAAGGTCAAAACACAGAGATAACAAATATAAAACCTTCTAAAACAAGTTTATAATAGTTTGAAACAAGAAATATATCAAGGGAGAAGATGAAAATTTCACAATTATTTTCTGTACAGGTGGATGGCAGTTGTTACTGCAAACCAAATGTTTGTGGCGACTCGTGTGATACTTGTGAGGATGGTTATTACAGTCTTGAAGGATGGAATTATTTTGGATGCCAAGGTACAACTGAGGTTTTTCATATGATAAAAGATTTCTAAAAGATAACAATCCAATCTTTCTAGGGATTAAGTCTGTTTGGCATCAACAAGTAGTTAAGTCCCCTTTATCTTGGTTCTTTTATTTGTTCTGTAACTGAGGTATCTTTTGGGTAATTTTTAAATTATTGTACTTAAAAAAAAACTTGTTAGTTGCCTTGAACTTTTGGAGGGTGCTTTTGTTGTGGCAGTTTTGCATGGGAGAATGCAAATGCTCTAGATCACTGCTAGACTTCAATGTACACACATTTCAAGGAAAAGGTCAAAATATCCTCTTCCATTCATTTCCTTTAATGATACATGAAGACCGGAGGCAGGACAACCAGAACCTCTTCTTGAAACTGTTGCCTGGAGCACATACTTCACATTGCTTCATGGTGTGGCTGGACTTGTTCCATCATTTATTTCAGTATGAGCATTCATGGAAGAGGATGTGGATTTACTACAGCAACCATTGCTATAGGAAGTTTCTGCTTCACCCATTTTAAGTTTAATGGAGCTATGCTAGAATATTCAGGATGCATTCCCATATGTACATCCCTTAGGAGAGACTGTAAGCTTATCTTATTTACAGGGTAAATTTAGAATGATTTAGAGAAATTACTCTCTTTCATTTCTGTCCCTACCATTAGAAGGAACCTACAGTCAGGGCTCTTTTTGTAGCAGGTACTCATTTGCATACTAGGCGACACACCCCTAATGTAGCCAATCCTCCATTAGGGGGTGTGGCCTAATATGCAAAGGCGTTCCTGCTACAAAAAGAGCCCTGCGTATATTTTATATTCTTGTGACTTAAAAAACTGCACTATTTTTTCTTCCCTTCCAGGATGTCAATGTGATGTGGGAGGGTCTGTGAGTCATGTGTGCAATGATCACTCAGGTGCTTGCCAGTGCAGAAGACACATTGTTGGAAAGTCCTGCAATGAGTAAGTGAAGTGAGAAAGTGAAGCTGGTGTAGCAGAACAGCGTGTTCCTTAAGATTTCTTGCTTGCTGCTCAGGAAATGATAGGTCTGCTGTCAAATCAGCTGCTAATTACATGAGACATTATTCTTGTAATGGCAGATACTAAATTCAAGAAGTATCTTTATGTTTTTATTTATTTAAAACATTTATTAGCCACCTTTCTTCCTTCTGGAGCTCAAGGCAGCTTACAAACATAGATAAAACGCATTGGCTAAAATAACATCACTTTTTACATCACTTTTAGGGGTGATTTGTTATGATAGTTAAAAGGAACAGAGAAGCTCTGGGCCATGCTAGCTGTGACAGTGTCCTTGTGATGCTGCAAGGATGCTGTTGCCATTTTTAAATGATTTTAAAATGCCATGAGGGCCCAGTCAGGATTGGACCCACAGCACGGCACTCTTGTTTCCCCCATGCACATCTTATCAAGCCCTGAAACAGCCGGGGGGGCAAGTGTGGCCATTGTGGCACCTAATAAGGGGCGAGGGGAGGGGATGACAAGTGCTTCAGCCGTGGAGTCCTTGTGGCAGCCACAGGGATGTTGTCACAGCTAGTTGGGGCCTGTGTTTCTAATTACTAGTTTCTGAGAACAGGCAGAAGTGAGGGCTGTTGCCTTCACGCTTTGTCTGTGACCTTCCAGAGATAGTGGGCTAGCTGCTGTTGGAAAGAGAATTCTGGACTTTTTTAATGGGTAGGAGAGAAATTTAAATTAACTTTGTATTTATGAAAGGCCTGAAAAGAACTACTATTTTCCTGACTTGCATCACCTGAGGTTCGAAATTGAAGATGGAACAACTCCAAGTGGAAGAAGAATCCGTTTTGGATATGATCCTCAAGAATTCCCTGATTTTAGCTGGAGAGGTTATGCACAGATGTCCTCTATACAAGTATGTGTTGTTGTTCCTTTTTCTTATATGTTTAACTTACTCTGCCTTCTCAAGACCATTTCACAGCATAAACATCTGCATCAGTTAAACTCTGTAGTCCTCCTTTATTTTTCGGAAGAAGTTACTTCCATATGCTGCAAAACCTCCTAGAAAATTTAGGTTATCATTTTTCAGAAAGGTCAGGACTGTGCAGTTTGGGGTTTGTTGGTTACCATCCAAACAACCAGGTGGCTTATATGAAAAACAACTGTGTGTTGGTGAATATTATGGCTCACAAAGGTAGTCTGATGTGCTAAACAAAGAAAGTGACCATTGTAGAAAAAACAAGAGAAATTTATCTCTAACTGCTATCTTAATATGTTTTTTGGTGTGTGGATTCAGGTGGGTAGCCATGTTGGTCTGAAGCAGCAGAACAAAGTTTGACTCCAATGGCACCTTTAAGACCAACAAAGTTTTATTCAAGGTATATGCTGTAAGAAGTGTGCCTTGCACATGAAAGCTTATACCTTGAATAAAATTTTGTTGGTCTTAAAGTTTTAATGTTTTATGTATTCCATTTCCATTTCATTTATTAGCTTCATTGACCCGAGGTCTTAAGCCAAACATGCAAACAACAAATATAAAATGCATTACATAAAATTACAAGATATTTAGACAGAACGCCTTTACAATAAAAGCTAGTAAACATGCTCTCAATCAGTAACATCAGACCACATTTTATAAACTTCAATGAATTCTATAAAATCCCATGATATTATGGAAATTAGTTTTAAAATTTTAAAATTGTATACAAAAGGTACTCATAACATTTCAAAGCCGCTTTAAAAATAGCACTATTGAAAGATATTTTGCCACCAAGCGAGTCGTTTCAGGGTCCTCATCAGCTAATAGTATGGTTATCACCCAGGGTTCCATAGGGAGGTGATATCTTTGTAAAATAGGAGTAATCCAGCAGGATCTGGGGTCAATCCATTGGTGGCAAAATAACATAAGATGATCTAAGGTCTCTATTGCACCTGATCCACAATTACACAATCTATTTGAGTACTGTATTTTAGCAAAACGGCCACTTAGCTCTACAGTTGGAAAAACATTCAACCTTGCAAGCGTGAAGACATATCTAGATCTGGGGGATGTAAGGAAGCTCATATATGAGGGAGTTTTCTTAGGTGGAACAATCCCTAAGGCAGAGTTGGAGCATACTCGCCTAGCACGAATTGAAGTGCTGAGTCGGTCAATGTTTGTCACCCTCAATCTCATCAAATTTAGCGCTTCTTGATAATTTAAATTATTAAGCCCCGTAGGGGCGAGACCAATCCACTCCAGCTTGTTATCTATATGTTTTGCCCACGTACATTTATAATTATCCCCTTTTAAAAGATAAAGAAGACCTCCTTGAGCATTAGGTGTCATATAAAGAACTTTCAGTCTCAATTTAAAGGCTGCCTTCCAGGCTCTTGACTCAAAGGAGCATTGTGCGAATTCTTCTCTAAGTGCCGTCCCTGCGACACATTTAGGGACTCCTGCAATTTTACGCAGGAACTGGAGAAGGATCTGATCTGATAATTCCGAAATTTCTTTAATCCAGATCGCAGCCCCATATAAAAATTGGGAAGTAACTTTCGCATTAAAAGCAGCAATGGCCATTGGGACATACTGGCCGCCTCTTGAATAATAGAATTTAAGGAGGGCATTAGAATTTAATTTAGCGATTTCAGTTGCTGCTCTTATATGATGTTTCCAGCGGCAACTGGAGCTGAACACTATCCCCAGATATTTGAAATGAGACACTTGTTCTATCTCCCCACCCTTAACCTTCCATGATCTTTGTTTTAAACAAGGTTTGTTAGAAAAAACCATTATTTTTGATTTCTCATAATTGATCATCAGCCCCTCTTGGATACAGTAATCAGTAAAAGCATTCACTAGCTTACGCAAGCCAACTTCTGATCTGGATAGCAGCACTGCATCATCTGCATAAAGTAGTATAGGAACTTCCTGTCCCGCTAGTATGGGTGCGTGACAGATTGTTTTTTTGATATATGGGACTACATCATTTATATAAAGATTAAAAAGTGTGGGGGCTAATAAGCATCCTTGCTTAACACCTTTAGAGAGATGAATGGTATTTGTAAGTTGCCCATCTACTCCGCAACGAATTTGTGCAGTAGGATTCTCGTACAGTTTGTAAATCAGCCAAAGAAGTCTCTTGTCTAGAGATGTTTTGGACAATTTGGCCCAGAGGCGGCATCTGGGGACTGAATCAAATGCTGCCCTGAGATCCATAAATTGGGCATTGGCCCCATCTGTTCGCCGCCCTGAGCACGTTCGCGGGGAAGGCGGGTGCCACTGGGCTCAAACTTTTTTGGGGTGTGTGTGTGTTCATCATTTGGAAAGTCCATGTCCAGTCTTTCTTTGGCAACCTGAGCATGTACAGAGAAGCTGCTGGAGAATCATAATATATAATAGATTGCCTTTACTTCACTTTTCTTTCCTATTGAATTAACTTTACTTAACAGATTAGGAATCCAGGAATGGGGGAGGGTATACCAATTGAATAGTTTAATTAAAGGAATCAGTTAGAGGAAGGAAAGTATTACTATGCTTTCCATCTTGACTAATTACAATCTCTATTTCTGTATATGTGTGTATTTCATAAGGAAAAGGAGTAACCATGCAATGCTAAGAACGCTTTCCTGGAAGTAAGGCCCACTGTGTAGACCTGGGACACAGCCTTAGTGGACCTGCTCAGGATTGCTCTCTGAATGTTTGTTGGACATGAGTTGATGGCTAGCCAACAGCTGGCTGGTGGGTAATGAAAAAAGGAGGGTGGCCAATGTATATAATTTAAAAATCTAAAATAAGATAGAATCAAGGAACACAAGAAACTGAGTACTGCGTGAAACTCTTGAGAAAATAAGTTGGCAGATTTACAGCATTTTCTGGTACAACTAACTGCTAACACAAAATCCCCAGTATTCTTGTCTTTCAAGTGCTTAGAAGTGATGTTCTATGTGGGCAACTGTACTTATTTACCAAGTGGGATTTCATTATTTCTCTGCAGCAGGTGAGGGAGGAGGGCAGGCAGAAGGATCAGGCAAGTAACAGGGATGAGCTGGATACCTGCAAACTGTTCCCATTGCATTGTTAAATTGGGTTCTCCATGTTGTGGCCAGCAATTCTAATGTTAGGTCCATGGCAGAAAAACAATCTCCTTAAAATAGCAAGTTAAATATATTTGAAAATCATATTAGCTTGCAACTTTACTAGTCTCTACACTAAGTCTGTCACATGGCTGAAGTAAATACAAGCAACCTGCTCTCCACATGGGAAATGCTTATTTCTTTGTTCAGTGGTATGAACAACTGGGCCTGGTTTTGTAATATGCTTTGCTTATCCCTGCATGCATTGTTGCTTTCTTGTGTTGTTTTTTTGTTTACCAAAATACATGCTTTGAGGGGGAGGTTAAAACAAATCTCTGTGGTATGTAATTAAAACTGTCCACATGCACTAGGATTGCCAGGTCTGAGTTGGAAATACTTGGAGACTTTGGGCGTGGATCCGGGAGAGGGCGGGGTTTGGGGAGGGAAGGGTTCTCAGCGTGGTACAATGCCATAGAGTAAAGCAGCCATTTTCTCCGGGGGAGCTGATCTCTGTCAGCTGGAGATCAGTTGTAAAAGTGGAAGATCCCCAGGCCTCACCTGGAGGCTGGCAACCCTAACACATATGTCCATGTACTTTCTTTACACAATTAGATTTTTAGTAGTGTATACACCACTTGTGCAAAATAAAAAAGGACAATAAAGGACACCACTTGTGCAAAATGAAAAAGGACAAGAAAAAATGCCTGCCAAGGTTCATCTTTAAGATTAAAATCCAAAGTAAACATATATACACATCCATGGTATCCAACATCCTCATCACAGAAGACAAGAACTAAGATAACTTCAGAGATATCAGAATATGATTTATTAATAAAGGTGAAAAAATAAAAAAACCTCCCCTTTGTAACTAACTACTGGGAAGAGCATCAAGGCAATTGGGAAGAATTCATGCTGGAGGTCACAATAACAGTTCTCTCAAAGACTAGCCAGGGCCAGAAGAAGAACAAAAGGAAGAGATTGGATTCACTACTGCCCTTCACTACTCAAGGGAGTCTCAGAGTGGCTTACAAACTCCTTTCCCTTCCCCTCCCCACAACCGACACCCTGTGAGGTAGGTGGGGCTGAGAGAGCTCTGGCAGAAACTGCTCTTTTTCAAGAACAGCTGTGCCAGAACTATGGCTTGCCGAAGGTCATCCAGCAGGTGCAAGTGGAGGAGTGGGGAATCAAATCCGGTTCTCCCAGATTAGAGTCTGCGCACTTAACCACTACACCAAACTGGCTCTCCAGTAGATGACTGGAAGATTCTGATGCCTCTGAGGGCTTTGTGCATCCTCCATTTATATGGGCCTCAGAAAAGACCATATTCTGGGAAATGGACAGCTTGCCTGAGGGAACACCAGTGTGAGGAAACTCTGGGTAACTCTAGAGCCCCTCGTCAGGGATCACTACAGAAGCCTGCAACATATAAGGGATCAGCTAAACCTTATCCACCAGGGTCAGTGTTGAAGTACCCTGGAGATTAAGGGTGCGCAACAACATTAGCTGGGCCTAGGGTTGTATCTCTGAGGTTAGAGAGGCAGTCATACAAAAATTGCATCATGACCAAGCAACCTAGGTTATCAAAAACTCTATGATATATGTGGTTAGAGGTATGTCTTTGCTTTGTGTCCATAATACTATGGACAAATTTATTTACAAATGATCTCCAGACTATTCTCAGTGGGACATACATCCAAGTTTGTCTGCTTAGGATTCAGTTGTTAAGACTTCATATCCATTATGAAGATATTTGGGAACTGTTTCCTCCTGTGATTCATTAGAACCTGCTGTAATTTTTTTTTGTGGAATTTCTACACATGCTAAATGAATTCTAAATGTTCTCTGTCTTTGGGTGGTAGTGTTAAATAATATGCTTTCCTGTCCTCTTCTTTGCTTCTTTTTTCCCAGCCAGAGGTGGTAGTGCCTGTCACTGTGGCTTCTCCTAAGCCCTTCCACCTAGTTCTGCACTATGTCAGCTTGGTTTCAAAAAGCTCTAAAGGGAGGATCTCAGTTGCTGAGGGAAAGCATTTTGACCCTTATAACACTTGTAAGTGAATTACTTTTCTTGCTAGGTTTGCCTGTCTTCTTCCTCTTCCTTATCCAGAAAACACTTTCTCTCTGCCTATGTGTCTGCCTATGCGGTGTTTGTAATTCCCCCCCCCTGTAGGAATTGAGTATTTTGCTTGCATGGCTTCTAACTGTTTATCCTTCTTGGCACTTTATGGCTCTTTTTTTCTTGTTTTATTAACTTCCATTTTACAGAATGAAGTGAGGATAACTTTGAATGTGGAGAAATCAAACCTCTATTTATTTCATATTATCTTGAGGTATATTAATCCTGGAACTGCAGTAGTATCTGGCCTCATAAGCACTTATCAGTCTCGGTCTCAGACAGGTATGTAAAGTACAAACTGACAAACTTCTTCACTCATTGATCTAAGAGCCGCACTGCTCATTATGTTGAAGATCTGTGCTTAAAAATCAGGAACTCTGCTGGGGGAGGGGGGACAGGGTTAACTTTCCTCTTGTACCTTTTCCCCAATTGAAACCACTACCACCCACTTCTCAGGCTGTCATTCACAGGCCGGGGAAAAAACAGGCATAGAGAATGTGCCTGTCTTTTTTCCTTACTGGGACTAATAGAAGTCAGCGGTTGAGGGAGGAGACATTTTCAATAGCAAAACCATGTAAAGGAAAAGAGTTAATCTTTTCCTTCCCCAGAACAACAATGGCCTCGTCTATAACTTCTTTTTAAGATTTAACTATATGGTGGGGGAATCTATTCATATAGCACATAATGTACAGGGTCCACTAAATGTGTGATCTGTGGAGTGTGTTTACATATTTGGGGATGCTGAAATGGTTTCAGAGGTCTTGTTCCACTTGAGGTTTTTGCGCAGCTTTCAGCCTCTCACTAGAAACTTGATATTTTCAACATTCATTTTTGTCAGCCCTGAAAAGAGAGTGATGATGGTATATGCAGAAACACACATGCACGCACTATCATGCACACACCCAGAGTGGCAGCCTGTGGAACAGGGTGAAGGGGATGTCCCAGCCTCCACCACAAGATTCCACTAGTCACTCGGAAGCTGCACCGGCACTTTGCCTCACCTATGCTGCTGCCTCCCATTGCTTGCCAGTAAGGATTACACCTTCCCCCCACCCTGCAGTGACACACAGTGGTAGAGACTGGGATGTTCTCTGAACTGTACTGGATGAACTGTTACTACGCACATGAACATACACAATGCAAAAATCAGATGTGTCATAAGAGATTTCTTTTAACCATTGATTTCTTAGTCTGATATTAAAATATCTGAGGATCCAGATGTTTTATTTAAACACATGAAATTCAAAGATAGTGTCAGACCTTGGAATGCCCAAGTAGAAAAGTGGCCCCTCGCTCTGGGGGCCTCACAGATAGGTTCACTTGTTCCTTTCCCTTGCCTTGTCATACTTTATGCACCTGTTTTGCCAGTGACCTGTGGGTCTGATTATTTTGGTTAAAAACAGTGCAAGCCTAAGCAGAGTTAGATCATTCTAAGTCAATTGAAATCAATTTGCTTAATTGGGTTTAACTCCATTTAGGATTGCGCTGTAAATGTCTAGACCAGTGGAATGAAATGTGAAAAGACAAATCCAGACTGGATTTTCTCAGAATGCGTGATTATGAAGACATCCCCTACATTTGCTAATTGTTGCTGTAGTTGTGTAGACTACTTTGCTGTGACAAATGCTGCCTTGTGCATGACACCCATGGTCTTATTTATTAATACATATTCCTCATGTTAATAGCTTGCCTGCCACTTTTAGATAATCAGTACTGACAGATGCTCCCCAAGAGACATTCATGGCAAATACTTTGGAGACAGCTGCTCTAGATTTAATCATCTTCATTTAAGAACTAATCATTTCCTGATTAAAATGTAGGAATTGCATTAATCTAAGAAACTAAAACCTCTCTAGGCTATAGAAGAATGTGGGATGATACATATTCTGGGGTTTGACTCATACTGCTTACTAAGAGCTTTCAAGTATTTGCTCAGTGGCCAGCCTCAGTTCATTGCTGCATAATGTGGGAAGTGGGCCTTAGAGAATCCCCAAGTTGCAAAAATGCATGGTATATTCAAGTAATTATTCTGCTCTTTCCTCTGTTTTTCGTTCCTTAGCGAATGGTACAGCTATAGGATTGGTTCACACATGCAGGAGAATAGGATGATGTGGCACAATCCTGTGATGATATATTGGATTATACCACTTCAGAGTACATGAGGGGGAAAGCGAAGGATCCTGTTTTGGAATGCTTCATTGTGTTAAACACTCCCTGCAAGTAGAAAACCAAGCAAAAAGAAAGGGTAGAACCTTCCTTCCTCTGGTTCTGTCCTACAGCTTAACTTCCTGCATGCGTGAATCACTCCAGGGAATAGTGTTGTTGCAGGCAGAACAGATTCAGACTCTTCAGTTTCTTCCTTAACCCCACCCATTGACCTGATGTCTGTCTAGTTTCAGTATATAAAATGCTATTGCCAGATAATAATCAAGCAGTTTTTAAAATTAATTTACTTGTTTGCTGACAGGGACTACTCAGACCAAAGACGTTATGTTCATGCCCAGCAGGGAGCCGGTGTTTGTAACCGTCCCGGGAAAGAGCTCTGCAGATCCATTTTCACTTGCCCCTGGAACTTGGATTTTTATAATCACGGCAGGCGGAGGAGTTCTCCTGGTAAGAAGCATATCTATTTTTATAGTGTTTGTGCTTTTGAGAACTGAATCTGTGCAAGGATACAACATAAGGAAATGCAGGAGGAATGCCAGCGGAGGAAGTTAACATTAAAATAAAATACACAGAATGAGGGCTTGTGGCTGCTTCAGCTTTGCTTTCTCTTTGCATGGAACACAACTGCTTATTTATTTATTTATGTTATTTATAGTCCATTTTTCTCACTGGGACTCCAGGCAAATTATACAGAGTGATTTAATACAGTCAGCAGGATGGGACCTTCAATAAACAGTAGAATAGGATTAGAATTGTAGAAGTCTGGAACTAACCGGAAATCTAAAAAAATAGAAAAATGAAGCAAAGCATACATATTAACATGAGACATTAAATGATGCAAGAATTACATACTGGGATCCTACTTAGAGCAAGCTGTACATAGCAGTGTAGACATCAGTCCCTAATCGTTTATCCAAGTCACTTTGTAAGCCATTTTGTACAATGCAAACCCTATTGCCTGTGTAGAAAAGCTCTCTTGGTTCTGGGAGCATTGGCCCAAGGTACATTCAAATGCAACTGAAGGTTGTTTTTTCTCCACAAACTGGGATTCTACACTTGTGTTAAACCAAGATTCAGCATCCATATTTATGGAGAAGAAACAAAGTTCTGTTTTCCCTGTCAGAATTTTGAGGTTCGGACAGTTTGTTGTCATGGAAAATGGGAACGTAATTCAAATTTTCCAAAATCAGGAAGCCTCGACTTGTTCTGTGTGGGGGCGGGGGAGGGGGCGGACTACACAGGCATAACAACAAGCTGTAATCATGTCCAGCATAGACAAACAGAGGATTCCTATCACATCTTAAAGCAGCCTGTGTGGCCCAGTGGCTCTGGCTGAGTCACTGCCTTTTACCCTTCTACTGAATATTTTCTGAACAGCAGTGTTAGATACGAGACTCGAGGCAGCAGGTGAACAGTGATAACAGTTTTATTTGAACACAAAGTCAGAAGAACCAGAACGAAACAAACTATGGAGCAACATGCTCCTTTTTAAACAGTCCAGGCTTGGCAAGCTACGTCCACATGTCCGATAAGGTCCAATCAAATACAGTACATAGAGACCAATCACTTTGCTTCCCTCCAGAACTTCCCTTGTTCTGATAGGTCGGTTTACAATACCTTGGTCAGACTCAAGCTCTATATATTTATACATTCCATTTCATACACAACAATCCTCCCCCCTAAGACGAGACAACCCTTGAACAGTCATAATCTTTCAAGTAAGCAGGACGCTGCTTGACCCATTGGGATCGTCTTATATTTACCATTGGTGGAGTAGGAGGAAGAGCTTCAGGCTCCCTGTGAGTGAGCTCGGTTTGATTCCTTATGGGACTGAGTGTTCGTGTCCGATTTCCATAGTCATGGCTCTGCTAGCCCTTGACTATGCCTGAGGGTCCCAGTGCTTGGAAGCCCTCAGCCCGTTCGGAGTCCAGAGACTCTACCTGACTGTCCGAGTTAGGTACATCAGGCACCTGGGGAAGGGAATCAGAGACTGAGTCAGCCCACCGCTTACGCAACTGATCCACATGGCGCTTCATTACTCTACCGTCATTTACCTTCATGGTATAATGACGGGACCCGAGGACATGGGTTACTGTGCCAGGTAACCACTTGTGTCCGCTACCGTAGTTCCTTGCATACACAATCTCCCCTTCAACAAACACCCAGGGTTGTTCAGTGGACTCACTGTTAGGCGGCCTGGCAGATGTCAAGTCCGGCTGCATACGGTCTAACAGTGTTGTTAGGCGCTGACCCATAAGCAGCTCCGCCGGACTCCGCCCCATCACGGAGTGCGGCGTGACATGTTGGTGCAGTAGGAAAGTCGCCACCTTCTGGCCCCAGTTTCTGTGCACCAAACAGCCCAAAGTCTCCTTAGTGGTCCACACCATTCTTTCGGCCTGCCCGTTGGTTGCCGGGGACGTGCTATGGGCAATGAGGTTTGCCACCAAAAAGTCTTTGAATTCAGTGGCCGTAAAGCATGTCCCGTTGTCAGACACCAGAGTGTCTGGCAACCCGTGCATAGCGAACAGACAATGTAAAACATTAATGACCGTTAACGCAGTCATTTTTGCTGTGGGGACCACCTCGAGCCACTTTGAATAAGTGTCCACAATAATTTTTAAAAATCTGCCCCTGAAAGGAGCCCGCAAAATTCACATGGACCCGGGGCCAGGGGCGATGACACTCTTCCCATGGGGTTACCGGTGCATGTGGAGGATCAGGCCGAGACAACTGACATTTCTGGCATTTCTGTACCCAGGACTCTATGCCACGTTGATTTTTGGCCACCAGAAATACCCTCTGGCCAGTCCCTTCATGCGCACGATGCCGGGGTGGCATTCGTGCAGAACCTCTAATACTTGCTCCCTTAGCTTGGGGGTAACCACCATCCTGTTACCCCAGAGTAAGCATCCCCGGTGCACAGATAATTCATTTTGCTGTGATGCAAATGGCCTGAAACAGTCATCGACGCGCCCCACCGGCCACCCCCTCCACACCCAGTTAAGAACCCTGGCGATGGTGGGGTCCCGGGCGGAGGTGGTCGCAATGTCCGATGCATGCACCAGAGGTTTGGCCAGTTCCTTGAGTTTTAAGATTTTTATGGTATACTAATTAGGTACGTGGTACCGCTTGTTAGCCGCCCTGAGCCTGTTCGCAGGATGGGCGGGGTATAAATATGAAAAATAAATAATAAATTGTAGGGGACAGCGGCTGAGGGCATCGGCATGCCCCATGCTTTTTCCAGGCCAGTGTTCAAGGACATAATTGTACGCCGACAAAAATACCGTCCAGCACAACATCCGCACAGACAAGAAGTTTGGCGTCTGGCGGTCAGGTACAAAGATTCCAAGGAGGGGTTTGTGGTCTGTGTCCATTACGAACGGTCTGCCATACAGAAAGTCATGAAACTTTTTTATGCTAGCCACTAGCGCCAACCCATTCTTGTTGATTTGGGCATAGTTCCTCTCGGCCGGGGTGAGTGTCCGAGAGTAGTAGGCAATTGGTGCTTCCCTGCCGTTAGCCAGCACATGGCTCAACACAGCCCCCACCCCATACAGGGACGCGTCCGCACCCAATAATAATACTTTCCACTTATTAATCGCTTTCCCCAGTGGGCTCAAAGCGATGTACAGTTACTCAGTATAGACAGGGGACTAACAATGTTTGTAGGGGATAGGGAAGACAACATATATTCATTTTTTAATTGCACGCGCCGTCACTGCCCGGTATAGACGTCTTCCTGGCTTGGCTCCGTCGTTTTCCGCAGGGCTGCTTGTTGGCCAGGCTTCAGGACCCGTATGTCAATCGCCACACTGCCACCGCCTGGCCGGAACATCCATTGCAGGGATTCTTTCGTAGCCCAGAAGCTATTTGGCCTTCCAAGCCTTGACCAGGACGTCCGACCATCAACTAACACCCTCCCACAAGGGAGATTGGCGTGCCCACTCTCTCTAAGGAGTGGTTCCCATTTTACCTACTCGCTGAAGCTTTCGAATCGCTGGGTGGACGATGAGCTGGGGACAACAGGCTGGCTGCTCACACCAGCGCGGGGCTTGAACCAACACAGTTGAGATGTTCAGACAGTGAGAAGAACCAGAATGAAACAAACTATGGAGCAACATTTTTAAACAGTCTGGGCTTGGCAAGCCACGCCCACATGTCCGATAAGGTCTAATCAAATACAGCACATAAAGACCAATCACTTTGCTTCCCTCCAGAACTTCCCTTGTTCTGATAGGTCGGTTTACAATACCTTGGTCAGGCTCAAGCTCTATACATTTATACATTCCATTTCATACGCAACAAGCAGCATCCCCATACTGCATCACAAGCTGCAGTTTAGATGTTAGGTTTAAGTCCATAGTTGATGCTGCTAGTATTTGAGTACAGTTTTGCAAATTTAACCCAAAGCTTTGCTTGTGCATTACATTCCTTGGGTATGCATAAAATAACTTTTTGGGGGGGAATTTGGGGTTTTAACACTTGTTAAACTTTGAGGCTTAGTCCTATGCAGCGCTCAGTTTTCCATTGTCTATGCCCTGTTGTTGGCCCTCCAGTGGAACTGATTGGCCACTGTGTGAGACAGGACGCTGGACAAGATGGACCATTGGTCTGATCCAGCAGGGCTCTTCTTATGTTCTTATGAGGGTGCAAGCAGAGCCTGTGAGGAATAATAAATACCTAAGACTGGATCCAGTCAGCATTTTCTTTCGGTCTCACCCAGCTCACCTCCTTACTACAGCTGCCAGTCTTATGATCCCCAGCACAGCCTATTTGCTGATCAAACAGAATATCCTCTTCTCTTTTTCACCACCAGAAAAAGGATCCAACCCCTAAGCCTCACAAACTGATTCTTCTCACTATCCATCACGGGATTCCATGGGGAAGGAATAACACCATCCTAAGCAAAGCTGCACTCTTCTAAATCCATTGAATTGAATGCACTTAGACGAGAGTAACTCTTCTTAGGACTACACTGTAAATGTCTGTACTTTTATGGCTTTACCACATTAAAAGGGTTCAGTATAAAGGACCATTTTTATTTGTATCATTGCATATTTCTCATGTATTCCACAAAGTGGAGTATTATGATGTACTTCCGAATACATTATGTGCAGGAAACATGAAGTGGGAACTAAGTTTTTTTGTGCAACTGGGCATATAGAGCTAAACAGTTTAAATAATACACAGAAGAGAAAAATATAAAAGAAATAGAAAATAAAGGGTATGCTGTCATCCCCCCCCCCCTTTTCTTTTGGTTAAAAATGTTCCAGTATGTATGCCTGTGGATTGGGGAGAGAAGCACCTGCTTTCGCAGTGTGTGTGTGTGTGGGGGGGGGCTTGAGGTTTCCCCGCCAAAGAAGCACTAACCCTCTTAGAGGTACCAGCCTGAATATAACTAGAAGATATGGCATATCATATTTAGCCAGCTTTGTCCAGTGTCACAGCAAACAAGTTGCATCTCACAGTCCCAGGGCACTGCTGATCTCAGTATATCTGAGATCTTCACAAAATGAAATCTATGAATTGGATGTTTATTGATTGGGTTATTTCAAAGGAGGTCCATTAAGCACCATAATCATCCATGGAATCATATACAGTATGTAATTGCTGCAGTGTTGTCTTGACCATTTTATATGAACTCAGTAAATACTCTTACCGGGGTCTTGTTCTTCTGTATTCTTAGGACTATCTGGTGCTCTTACCTAGTGACTACTATGAAGCATCCATCTTACAGTTGCCAGTTACAGAGCCTTGCACATATACAAGACGTGCTGCAATAGATAAGTCAGTGTATCTATCATATGAATAGGAAAAATTGTTTTGCTTTATCTAATTTAATGCTCAAGCAAAGTATGACACTTCCCTCTTCTTTTAAAGTTGTCTGGAGTACAAACATTTGCCACTGGACAGATTTTCTTGTGTGCTTGGTTCGGAAGTAACATTTTTCCTGCATGGAGGAGAGTACAGGAAAGTAGTTTTCCAACCACCAACGTCCCAGCATCCAGTAATGTCACATATTAGTGGTCAAGAGGTAAGACATCTCCATTTATTTTAAATATATTGTTTTATGAATAAAGATAATATAATTAAGCTTCATGCATCCCTATTGTATCACTGGTTTTGTGACTTACCCATAGACCAGTTGTATTGTAGGAAATGGGAAGAACTGTTTTGCTTGTTTCTGGAAGAAGGACCATGGCAAGCAGGATTCAGCCTTCAGGTGGGCTTACCCGGGCTTAGAAGGATCTAAATGCTTGTGGAAAGTGCTTGAAACAAATTTGTGCATACTTGTAATGAATAGATTTGTAATCTTCAAATGTGGTTTGGATCTTTCTTAGGTGGATTTGAACATAAGACTAAATGTTCTCCAAGTCAGCCGCTATGTGGTAGTCCTGGAGTATGTTAATGAACACGATCAAGTATATGTTGCTGATGTAAAGATTAAAGACCCTGAGGAAGTGATGGAGGCAAAGGTGTATATATACAGCTGCAAATATAGGTAACAAAGTCTAAAACTAATAAGTTGTGTCCAGTGGAGCATTTCCATGAATGGAAGGATTTCAGTCTATGTAGCCCCACTTTCTCACCTCCTCTCCCCTTTGCAACTAAAATGCCCCCCTTGTTGCTCATGACGGACAGGGGATCCTCTCGAGAAACAAAATTTTGGTGGGCATTTACGACTGTAGTAGGGGGGGTAGAGGTGAGAAAGTCATAGCTTTGTGGACAGAAATCGTTTCATCTGTAGAAATGTTCTTCTGAATCCAGTCTGTTCTTTATTCTTGTTTTTGTTCCCTATCCTTGTTCTTCTGTTTCTTTTATTGTTCTTTACTAAATTGCTGTTCTATTATTACTAAGCTGGCTGTTCTTCAGAATGCCTTCTTGTATGGTTCTCCTGCTTTTCTTTCACTGAAGCATGGGTTTCTTTTTCTGGTTCTGGAGCTCCTGGGAATATGGTTGCCTTTTTCTTTTACCCCCTGACCTCTGTGTCAGGTTCGTAGAGTAGGTTTTCTTTTCTCTGATTACCTCTGCTATTTAAATCTGTATGGTGTGGGTACTGTGATGATCTAATGGCAGAGATGTATCCCAGCTATATCAAAAATTACCTTCTTCTGAAATGCTTTGTAGTGGGACATAGCCATACTATATACATGGGATGTTTTTGTTTTGTCCATTTGAATCAAATTGAACATTTTAATTCATAGGCTTCAGTTTAGGGGTGTGCATTTCAAAAATTATTAGTTTAATTCTATATCAGAAACTCGGGAAGGTAATGGTTATTGTTTTCATATAATACTAAGAGTATTGTTATGTTGGGAAGTTGTTTTAATAAACATCAAAAATACTCCATAGTGAAAGCAATACCCTTTTAAAAGGAAACATATTAAGCCTCACCCAAGGCAGCAGGTAACAGTGGGAAGGTAACAGCGTTCCGTGCGCCTTGGTGTTTAGTCATGCCGGCCACATGACCACGGAAACATCTTCGGACAGTGCTGGCTCTTCGGCTTTGAACCGGAGATGAGCACCGCAACCCTAGAGTCGGACTCGACTGGCTTTCGAGCAAGGGAACCTTTACCTTTACCTTTTAAGGCAGCAGGAGCAGAGAGGGAGGGACAAGTATGCCCTAGCTTCCACTGATCCTAATCCTTTAACGCTTGTAATCCATTGATACCAGTAATAATTCCAAACCTTTTGTCAGATTGGTTTTACCAGATTTTTTGATGTTTTACATAATTTTTATGTATTTGAACATTGCTATATATGATACAGTCTTGATAAATGTCATTATGCTTTTTTCCTTTATGAAAAAGGGGCAGGGGGGAAACTTGTATTGCTGGAAAACTTCCAGCATGGGCTGTGTGAAAAGAATAGCAGTCCATGATAACTACTTTTAAAAACCCTCTGTCTGCTCCAGCTTCCTGTGCCGCAGTGTTGTGGTTGATGCCATGAATCGAGTGGCAGTGTATGATCTTTTGGCCGATGCAAAGTTACACCTCCATGCGCCATCACTAGATTTCTTCCTGGTGAGTTTCTAATCTTTTCCTGAGAAAAAAATCAAGGAAACTCTGTTCATCCTGTTTTCCTATAATATGTTTACAATTCAGATAGATGTGTGAATTGCCGTAATTAAAGGAGATCCTCAAGACTGCACATAAACATATGAGGATTTAACAAAGTTATTATTTTACTCTCTTTTGACCCTTGCATGCCCTTACTTTATCATATTAAGAGTCATAGTATGAAGGGTGAAGTAGCTTTTCCTAAGGTTCATGGAAGGTCCCACCATGCCAAGAGTTTCAGTCTTTGCCTATTTATTTGCACTGCTGGCTGCATATAATTTTTCCATTTGAGGTACCAGTTCGGGGCAGGAAAGGAGACGGATCAGCCATTGTCCAAAGATGGCTGTAGAGCTTGCACTTACGTGCATTCAGCCTGCTGATCCCAGTGCGGCTTAAACTGTAATGTGGGATATTGGGTTGCTATAATGAAGTATATGAAGCCTATGCATTTGCAGATATTTCACTTGCTTTTGTTTGGGGTGGTGGTGGTGGTTGGGTTAGAGATTCTTAAAAAACCAATTTCTCTAGCAGAGTTGACATTCTGCCTTCACATTACTTTTTGTTGTACTTTTCTCCTGCTACTCAGTCAACAAATTGACTCCCAACATGGCTTAAAATAGTAATACATCAATACAGATATCAATTGTGATATTAAAAAACTGCACAGAAATACCTACTAGCTTGAATACATAGAGTGTCTGAATGAATAATCTTCATCTGCCTGTACAGTAAAGTCAGGCACAGTGCTTCTTATGGTCCTCATTTGCTTCTGTTGTCCAAAGCAATGCAATGAGTAGCTGTCAGCAGAGCACACTTTTAATCCCCATAATGGTATAATAGCAGCTCTCTGCCAAACCACACTGACTGCACCTTTTGCTGACTTCCTACAAATCTTCCTAATGAGGGAAGGAGGCTGCAGAAAGCTTTGCGGTCATTGAGAAGGACATTTAGTCCTCTGCCTTCCTGTTTCCTGGCCTGTTTTTAAACCAGCCAGTTCTCCATTTACAGGTATCCACAAACTGCTCTGTTTTTTGCTCAACTGGATCACTACCCTTGCTGAAGGATTTTATTAAACTGTGAGCTTACTTGCGCATATTATTGCTGCTGTATTTCCAACTCTGCAGTCAGTTGGTAAAATAAGTAAAACATGCATGTTTGCCTTTTGTTTTCTAGCACAAAATTTGCATTATTCCTGCAGAAAGTTTTTCCCTAGAGTACATGGAACCCAAAGTGCATTGCATTGCAGCTTATGGCCCTGCACCTGATTCAAGGTACGTTTATTTTAAGAAGGTTTTAAGATTCCAAACACTAGAAGTTTACACTCTGCAATAACAGCGTCACTCATCATGTGGCAGGTCAGCAGTCCTGCCTACACTTGAATAAGGGCAATAGATTTCAGGTACTATTTTTCTCACTCCAGAGGTATGCGGGGTTTCACTGAGAGATGCCCCTAAAAAAGTTGGATGATCCTAGTGAAATTCTTTTAACACCCCTCAAAATTCCTATAAATGTTTTACCTGAGTGAGAACCTACACTTCGTTTCAAATGTTGTTAATATTTACTTGTGCATTTTGTTAGGATTCAAGGTTGTAACAGTTTCATGATCTCTAACCCATAAATGCTTCTGGGATTCAAGGTTGTAACAGTTTCATGATCTCTAACATAGGTTAGTCTTTAAGGGGCTTTTGGTTTGCTGTTCTCTTAACAGCAGATTCAGAGAACAGGAAATTGTTACAGACCTATTAACTGAATAGTACAAACAAGTTTTAGTTTTACTTTACAATGTCTACATAAGTTATGTAATTCTTCCCTTTTCCCCCTTTTAGTGCCTCATGCGTCCCCTCACAAGATGAAACACCTCCATTTGCCTTGGTTTTGGATGCTCAGAGGGATGGGAAAGTTGTAGAAGCAGAAAGCAATGCCGTCTATCAGGGTTCAGGGAGTTCTTCATCACTGTCTTCACACCTAGCTAGTGGAGTAACTTTGACATCTTCACAGGTAGTTCATATTTTGAATGAAATATAGGTCACAATACAACCTAAAGAGTCCAATTTATGGGGATTTGACCTTATAAAGACCTATGTCCTGATGTAGCAGCTCAGTTCTTGCAAACTTATGGCTCTAAGGTAATTGTTAACTCACTTTTTGGTTCATACTTTGGTTTGAGTATTTGCTTACTTGTTGTAATGGTCCTCCACATCCACTCCCTCTTTCTGATGGGTTCAAACATTACACCTTGTGGAGGAAGAAGAATGAATATTTCCTGACCTTGTGTGTCTTCTGTAACATCCGAAGCAGAGAACAAGCTCTTCTTGCAGCAGGAACTCATGCAGCAGTTTAAAGGGAAACAAAACACACCTCTCTTCCTCCTCACATGGCATCACCCCTGAAGCTGCTGGCTGCCTTTTTGTTTTAGATTCATTTGCCCAATATCACTAGGAGCCACATTGGAACTGAGCCTGCTAGGTTCACATGGCAAACGGGGAATTAAAATGGGCAACGGAAAAATATAACTGATTGTTCTGTAAATCTTGTTGAGCTTTATATTTGTTTTTATGAGGTCTTCCTCTATTTTCAATTTAGTGATAATTTGAGAAAAAAGAGATGGAACAAATGGAGCTTGGACAAAGCCTCCCTTTCACTGCAGTGACATTATCCAATAAATGTGACCTGATTATACTTACTCAAAATAATTTATGTTGGCAGAACCAAATTACTCTGAGTGGCAGAGTGACATATTTGGGCAGATATGTGTTCATCATCCATTTTTACCAACCAGAGAGCCCAACATTTCCTGTGCCTGTTATTGTGGATGCAGGGCACATTTGGTCAGGTGAGCTTGCTTTTTTCTTCGAGTAAAAGTTTAACACATCTGCCACAGAATAGATTTTAAAATGTCTTTGTCTGTTTTAGGCTCCTTTAATGCTTCATTTTGTCCACATAATGCTGGATGCCGGGATCTGGTGATGGCAGAGAATCAGATTGAACTTGATATCCCTCAACATGAATTCTCAGTAATGTTGAAAGTTCCCAGTGGAAAAATACTAGTTTTGGTATGTTTTCATATACATAAGTCCCTGGTCTCTAGATTCAGGAGCATTCCTTTTTTTTCTTAAGTGCATTCTTTTTCTAGGTGCAGAATGGCTGCCCTTATGAACACTCTCAGTTAGAATGAATGGGAATTGCCTGGGAACAGTGCTTAGAGAAGCATGCCTACTGATGTTGATTTTCCCTACCATGCAGTTTCATTTTCTCATTTCTTTAAGGAACGTCTCTTGGTTATTCCAGCAGAAAGTTACAGTTACACGCTTCTTCACAAAGACACTGTTGACAAGTCATTTGCTTTCATCAACCAATGTGGTGGAAACAGTTATCATATTAAGTAAGTCATTCTGAAACAATGACTCTGTCTATTATGGTGACTGCCCCTGAAGAATAGCATCTGTGCATGTGTGTCAACATTCCACATACATTTTATGTGTGTTATTTAGGTCCTAGGGAAAAACTATTAAAAAACACAACTCTTTGAGGCTTTTCATGATTAGTTTTCTTTCTGATACTGTGTCTGTGAGCTTTTATTGTGGCATGTTAATTTATATCCTGTCCATTTTATCTGGTGCTGATTTAAAATTACAGTTGATGTGTTAATTGAGAGTAATTTTTATTCTTGTACACTGCACTAATTTAAGAACCTAGTGTTTAGAAGTGATGGGCACATAATTTAAATAAATGTAAAGGTTGTTATAAGAAAATAATGTAAGAATTTTAAAATAAACCATGGATTTTGTCAAACATTCTTTTAATGTTTAGAAATTAGCAACCAGTATGTAATATCAGTGAATGTAAACAAACAGCACTTAATTTCTAAATCCTGTGCAGAACATCAGCTGGCCAATTGTTAAATACCAGAACTCAGGTGCTTTGTATATTTGCTTCTTTTAATAGCCCCATAACTTCCTCGGAATTTTGTAAAAATTCTGCAAGGTCCCTTGTGGCTGCCTACAACGATGGAGCTCTGCCTTGCAGTTGCCACAGAAATGGTGCCATGAGTCCTACTTGCAGTCCCATAGGGGGACAATGCAGCTGCAAACCCAACATCATTGGTCGGCGATGTAACAAGTGCCAGACGGGCTATTATGGATTTCCATTTTGCAAGCGTAAGTCTCTAGTGACAACTGGTACTAAGTCATTGCATGTACTGCATTACTTTTTTCTTGAAGATCTGGATGTTTCATCTTTACTTAATCTCAGTCTTGATTTAAGAATTTTCTCCAACACTCATATTGCAACTCATATCATCCATATGCATTTTTAAAAATAGCCACAGTCAGCATGAATGTAGCTATTACATTTACTAATTCATCATTGTAGCATTTTGCTTTGTGGGTTTGGGGACAAATACTTATACATGTTTACAAGAACAGAGTAGGACTATATCCCCAAACCACAGCAACAAATGCAGTTCTGACACTTGAATGTACACTCTGTTTTGTTATCTACAGGTATTCCAGAATACCTGTCCTCTCGCCTCTGTTTCTTTCAACTTAGGTTACAAGTCTCAAGCTGGTTTGGGGAAGGGGATGTTCACTTTTATAATGTTTTGAAATTAGGTAGAATAAAGTTGGTATGAGGCAAAATAAACTGCAGCTGGATATTCTTGATTTCTGTTTGAATAAAGGCAGCAGTGATCTGTATACAGAGGATTTAACTCATGTATAAAATGATTCTCCCCCCCCCCCCCCCCCAATCCAAGCATGCAGTTGTGGGCGGCGCCTTTGTGACGATGTAACTGGGAGATGTATCTGTCCTCCTCAAACCGTTAAACCCAGATGTGAAGTGTGTGTGAAGCAGCACTTCAGCTACCACCCACTTGCTGGCTGTGAGGCATGCAACTGCTCAAACAAAGGGATTGTCAATGCAGCATATCCAGAGTGTGATAAAATTGATGGGCAGTGCAAGTAAGTTCATATTACTGGGTTATATTTTCAATGATTAAACTTGTGAACGTTCGTATTTCAGCGCAAGGAGATGCCCATTTTTATCTGGACATGAACTGATGTATTGATGATTAATGTGTGGAAAGCAAAAAATCCAGAATATGCCAAAATGTGTGTTTAAAAAGTTGATTTATTCTGAAAGGTAGTTTGAGGGAACTAGAATGCTCCATTATTGATGTGAGAAGAAGAAGAAGAAGAGATTGGATTTATACCCCGCCCTTCACTTGGAGTCTCAGAGCGGCTTACATACTCCTTTCCCTTCCCCTCCTCCACAACAAACACCCTGTGAGGCAGGTGGGGCTGAGAGAACTCTGACACAAACTGCTCTTTTTCAAGAACAGCTGTGCCAGAGCTTGTGACTGACCCAAGGTCACATCAGCAGGTGCAAGTGGAGGAGTGGGGAATCAAACCCGGTTCTCCCAGATTAGAGTCCACACACTTAACCACTACACCATATTGTTGTGGGAGAATAACTATTTAGAATGCCTGGAATACCTGTTTTTGTTTTTATCCTGCTAATCCTCCCAAGGATCTCAGAGCAGAATACATGATTCTTCCTTACTCTTGTTTTATTCACACACCAAACCTGTAAATTGCTAGGCTGAGAGAGTGACTGGTTCAGACCTGTGTCTCCCCAGTCCTAATCCAGCATGCTGCTTGATGAATTGTTAAATGGCCTGAAGTCATATCCTGGGAAGTCAGAGGCTGCTGCCCATAAGTGGCAAATTGAAGGGTGTCTTGAGGTAAAGATGGAAGAATGGTGGTCGCTGAGTTGGCACCATGCAGACACATGGCTTGTGACCAGCTGTGTGGGCTTCTGATGTCATGTCCCATGCTGGGAACTGAACTCTGGCTTTTGCATTGCTGCTTAGCAGTTGCCATACTTCTGCCACTGTCTCATGATGCCTACTGGTAAGCACTTGGGTCTTCTTCCTCATTGGTGGCTGCTCAGCAGCAGGGGCCTCTTACTTCCCAGTGAACCACCTAACTTTTCTATGCTTATTGAATATACACCACCCAAAATTACTATACTCATCCACCTATTTGGTTTATGGGGCACCATATCTGAGAGGCAGAGTTCAACCATATTCTTGGTATACAAGAAAGCTGACACACATATTGGTTTAACCAGAACAGAAGTAGTTCTTGTTGCATGTGAGGTGCTGCCTTCTCCATTAAAGTGAATGGGAAAGTCTTTGCAGGCAAGGAGCTTAATGTGTGTCTTGGAGCATATGCAGAGCTCTGGATCAAGGGCAGTAGCCTTATTTGGACTAAATCCAAACTCCTTTGCCTTGAATTGACATGTAGTTCTTTAAAAAAATGCCACCTTTCATTACCAATAGTTTAGGTTTATAAGTTTAGAGTGTCCAAAAATTGAGTATTGAACGCCAAGCGCAATGCTGAAAATGGAACTATTCTTTTCATTGTGGCAGTGAAACTGAGATTTATGGAATGTTCCAAAGTCCTAATCTTATATGCAAATTTGCTTTATCTTCAAAGTATGTCAGTAATGCCCTTAACGGTGTGCCCCACCATGTGCAAAGGTCTTATCTTGCATGCCTTATCTATTGTTATATACATTGATCAAGACTTGTAAAGTTGTGCTAAAAAGCCCCACAGGCTAATTAATAACTCATACATAGAACATTTGTTGGTATAATTATAGCAAGCAAAGACTGTTAATATAGCAGTTATGCTTGGGACTATAATTGGGCAATGGAATTGAAGTGCAGCTGGCACTTTAAAATCTATGTACCATCATGTTCACCTTTGTATAACAGCCAAGAAACAGAGGCATCATGCATTTATAATCTGATGTTGCTCTTGTGCATCCTAAATAATTATTTATGGGTACAGCCCATCTTGATGGGCTTGTCTATCATACAGCTTACCACAGTGGAGATGTGGGCACTGTTTGTGGGGGTTGCACTTCCTTTGCACCTAATTTTGAAGGACCCTGCCACTGAGTCATATAATCAGTGAGCAATATTAGGCAAAGCATTCTCTGCCTCAGTTTCCTATCCATAAAATGTAAATAATAATGGCCTCTTTTATAGAATGAACAGATTGTACAGCACTTTAGCATACTACAGAAAGTTGCAATATTAAAAAGAAGTCAAATCATGGTGAATAGAAACGTTAAATCCTTTTTTCTGTCCAGCAGCTCTCATTTCATTTGACTGAAGCTTAGCAAGAGGACGAAGCTATGGTGCTTATTCTAATTACTTTGCAGATGGACTACTTTACTAGCAGTTCAGTTTTTGTAACTTATTTTGTCTACCTGAATTGTCAGTTAGATTGCCTCAGAAATGACACATGGAAGTAAAATCTTTGTAGCACTGTGCTTCCATTTAAAATCCCAAATACATGAAATAGCGAGGAAGAAAATCTCCATGAATATCGCTATTCTGACATTCAAAGAAATAACATTGTTAGAATCTTTCCAGCTGCAAAGTCCAGGTGGATTAGTGGATTTTTAAAAATAGCATAGAATGGAAGAGTTCCTGGCCTGCAGTGAAAAGCTGGCTGGATCCAACCCACTGTACCACAGAAAGTTCTTCACTCTGTGACAGTGTTCAAAGTATAAGAGTCATCTAAAGCCTGAGGTCAAGTCATGAAAGTCAAGTCTTTCATGACTCCTTTAAAAATATATATATTTTGTATGATGGAATTTAATTCTCGGTCTGGGGCAAGTGATGCTCTGTATTCTTGGTGCTTGGGGTGGGGTGGGGGCAACAGTGAGAGGGCTTCTAGTGTCCTGGCCCCACTGGTGGACCACCTGATGGCACCTGGTATTTTTGGCCACTGTGTGACAGAGTGTTGAACTGGATGGGCCATTGGCCCGATCCAACACTTGCATCTCTTATGTTCTTAATTTCTCTTTTACAGTTCTTTTAAGTGTTGCATTTCTTCTGATTTTTCACATTATATAAAATCTCTTCTGTAACCTCGCTTTATCACCTAACAGCAATTTTTTTTAAAAGTGCTTTGTTTTGTTGCTGAAGATGCCGCCCAGGGATAACTGGTCGACAGTGTGATCGATGTGCCTCTGGTTCCTATGGTTTTCCTGACTGTAGACCCTGCAAATGTGACAGAAGTGGAACAGAACCTGACATCTGTAATCCAGAGACAGGAGTTTGCCTCTGTAAGGTCAGGTACTTTTGCATTAAAGTTACTGTGATTATCCATATTAATAGTTTGGTCATTATTGGCTCCAATCACAAGCAGAGTTTGCTGCGGGAGAGCCACGAATGCCGGGTGGATTTTTAGGGTGTGACCACACTGCAACATCTGGCAAGCGTAGCGCACCTGTGACCAACCCATGGCGTCCAGCCACAGATGTGCAGTTAAAAAGTACCTGCCAGTCTCCACTAGCAAATGGTTTGCCACGGGCCGCAGATGGACTCGATCCATGTGATTGTGCCGGCACGCGCCCATTCCCTCCAGCCATCCTTGTTGAAGCGCGCTGGAAGCACGCGCTAACGGACAAAACCCTGGTGCGCCGCCATTGAATCTGACTGCATAATAGCGCGTCAAAATGTGACAGCGCAAATAGCCCCCCCCCCCGCGTTTTCCGGCACGTGTGACTGGGACCATTGTATAATTAACATTGCCTCCTTTTCTTAAGGAATAATAAAAAGATATTACTCAGAAATAATTGCCAGGAATCAGCCTAAACGTTCTGCAGGCAGAAAGGAGTGGTGATTTATACTGCCCCCCAAATTCTGTGTTGGTCACCCTCTCCCTCTTTTGGGTCCCCATTCCCAAAGGAGCAGCATTTCAGGGGGGCATTTGGGGTTGCAGCAGGATGGGAGGGGGCGTCAGGCTCTGCAGACAGAAATATTTCCATGTGCATAAATATGAGGTGGAATCCAAACCATAGTTCGTTCTTCCTTGCTTGAGTTGTCGTAACTTGAAAACCAGAAGTAATTATAAAATATAATCATCAGTTTCATAAGGAGGAGTCAAGGGTTAGAAGAAAGTATATGTTAGCACTGCTGATTCTTGAGCATATATCTCTCCAGTCTTCCCTTGTTTCGGGGCACAGTATACTTTCACTGGCTTCAACAGAACCGGACTTCACAGTTACAAACCAGTCTATTTAGAGAGATCCATGAGATGAAAGAGGCTTCTTCAGGCAGATGCTGAATGAAAAGGACTGATACCATAAGATCGGATCATTAAAGGGATACATTAATTTTAATTTTATATCAACCAAAGGATCTACCGTACCTGTAGGCCAACCCATTCCATAGCTAGTTGCTGTGTGAGCAATTGGTGGAATGCAGAAGAGTCAGGCTACCTCTGCCTCTGTGTGTATCCCTGATTTCACAGGCGAGGCCACCCTGGCTCTGAGCCCTAAGCAGAAGTGTCTACGGCTCAGGCTCCTCCTCACCAAGCATTCTTCAGTGCATGAGGGAGTTGTGCCATGTCCTTTCTCCCTAGCTGCAAGGTCTGTGGGTCGAGGATCACAGCATCCTTCAATGGGTTCCTGTCCCAATTCCATGAAGGCACCGAGCCTTCTGGTCTGAGGATTGCCCCTTCACCCCACTGACCGATGTCTCAGAGTGCTCCATTAAGCCGGACTGGATACCACTCAAAAAACTTTGCCTGCACTGCTACCGCCACAGTGTAACACTACAGCTCATTAGTACTAAATTTAAACAATATTCCTTAATTTGGTTGTAGTTCACTCAAATGATTAATGTCAGCCCCACATCTAATTTTTCTTGCTGGTACACCTGTCTCTGCTTGTTTTGAAACAATCATCCACAAAACTGTCAGAAAGGCCCTAACTTAAAAAAAAAAAAACAACCCTGTATGAATTTCTAAATAGAAAGCGAGGCCATCTGTTATGCATTTCAGAGGGAAATAGTGTAAACATGCCCTTGACTTGACATTGCACTTTTAAAGGCAAACAATTTCACTTTTAATTGTGCTGTTGTGAACTGAAAAGAAGATGGCAACAACATTCTGTAGAATTGTAAATGTGTTTTATTGCTATTTTTATGTGTATATGACTGTAGGATCTTTATGGGGAAATGTTCAATGATTTCTTGAACTGACTTACAGGAGAATGTTGAAGGTATGCAGTGCAATATGTGCCGTCCTGGGTCATTTTACTTGGATTCCACTAATCCAAAGGGTTGCACCACTTGCTTTTGTTTCGGAGTAACCAATAACTGTCGCAGTACAAATAAACGTACAGTTAAGGTATGTTTACCACATGTTGTTGTTGTGTTTGTTATTAGGAATGTTAATTAGTTTCCCAGTTCCATTTGTTGATAATTGCAGGAAGGCCTGAGAAAACTCACTTCATGAAAATGTTAATTAGTTTCCCAGTTCCATTTGTTGATAATTGCAAGAAGGCCTGGGGAAACTCACTTCACGAGGCTAAATCATACACCAGGGATTTTTGTGTTGAAAGACTCATCCAATATATGCCCAGTGCTGATCCCCATAGGCAAACCAAACATGAAGCCTGAGGTGATTTGTGGTGACATAGAGTCGTATAACCTGCTCATAAGAGTAGGAGATTCCATGGCTGAAGAAAAAAGTTTCCGCACCAGACCTAGTAGTCACATTAATGAATTCCTTCTCTGGGAAGAAATATATTCATTTTCATAGCTTTTTAATCTCTAGTCTGTTTTTCCATTAGTTTGTTGATATGAGGAACTGGCACCTAGAAGAAATGGATGGTACAGACATTCCTATCAGTTTCAATCCGAGCAGCAACAGTGTTGTTGCTGATGTTCAAGAGTTGCCTTCCTCTGTGCAGAATTTGTACTGGGTGGCACCACCATCTTATTTGGGAGAAAAGGTATGTGTTCCAGGTTCTTTATGCCTAAAATCAATGCAAGCCCTTTTAGACTACAGTGTCATACATGCCACTCTGTTCAAAGTTGTCAAACGTTTTATGTTCCTCTTTCTCCCCGTTCATTGGAGTCAGTGTCCTAGTTTTCTGCCACCTTTGTCTCTCCACACCATGGGCTGGTTCCAGCAATCCATCAGCAGAAGCCTTGATAGTCACAGATCTTGCCTGTTTTGCCCTTTCCATGGGAATCCTTTTTGAGAGCAGGAAAGTTTACTCCTGTTGATTCAGGATCCATGAGGACTAATTGCCTCACAGGTCAGGAGGCTCTACTGATGGCAAAAGAATGAGGAAATTTGACTCCGTCACCCCCTCACCAAAGCACATGGTTATTACTCCTGGGGTCAGAAATGGGTACTGGGAGGAAAGAAAAAACGAGAAGAAAAACCCACAATTCTTGTGTGCTGGATCCACCCCCATATCTTTTATGATCCCATTACCACCTGTCGGTATTTTCTAATCTTCAGCAACAGCATACTTTCCAGCTAATATATGACTGAACATACATATCTGCTCCCTGATCTCTCCACCACTATATCTCTATAAAGACTTTGCTAGTATTGCCTGTGAAGTCCTTGCAAGGGCCGAAAACATTGAGATTGTCTGTTTGTTTTTTAATGCCTAGAAATGTTGCCAACTGTGTTCATAACCATTCATAAATGTGTTTTTTCAGCTTTCTTCATATGGTGGCTACGTGAGTTATCAGGTGAAAACCTTTGGCTTGCCCAGTGAAGGCATGACTTTATTGGAAAAAAGACCTGATGTGCTGCTAATGGTAAGAATAATCTTACGTGTAACTCAGGAATGACAGCTTTCTCCACAGCAAACTGATTTTCAGAAGTCTTATGGGTTGGATCTGGCCGTCTTTTTCTTGTGCAGTTCTCATCCTTCTTGGGTGGTCAAAGAGGAACCTTCCTTCTTTTTTCACCAGCAGAAAATCAGGTTGGAGCTAACCATATTTCTTTTTAGATGATAGCTTCAAAGTCATAGCAGGCAAAGGACTGAAAGTTGGCCTTGCCCTTGTACGGTCCGTCTCCCACTCCTTGCTTAAAATTGTCCTTCTCTTCTCACTATGGGGAGATGCAAACTGTGAGAGAAAATCTGCTAAAAGAAGGTTTTTAACCTCTAGGTAGAGGAGGTACTTCAGCAGTCAAATAAACATGGACTTTTCTGTTTGGGGCCTTTGGTGTTTCTTGTGAGGGAAGGCTGGAGGGGGTGGGGGATGAAGCCTGCTCCTAATCTCTGTCCAGGTGCTGTCCTATTCCTAACTTAGATGTCACAGACAAATTGGAGTGGGCACAACAGAGCTTTGTGGCAGGCGCAACAGAGCTTTAGTGCTGTTTTTAAGTTTTTAAAAAATGATACTATATATTTTAGTTAATACAAGGTGGGACCCGCGATACTCGCGCGGGGGGGAGGCAGAGGAGGAAGCAGCAGGAGGAGGTAAGTACCCCCCCCATCCTGCTGGTTCCCCCCTGTCCTCCACCCCTCCTCCATCTCCCCCCATTGCCTCGCCCCCCCAGCTCCTCTTCCCCCCCCAACCCGGCACTGAAGCCAGGGCTGAACCTACCTCTCTCTCTCTCTCTCTTCCCACCCCCTCACTGGCTCCGAGCCGAGGCCCGCGCGGCGTGGAACCGTGGGCCTCGCGACTCTCTCCCTCTCTCTCTCTCCCCACCCCCCCTCCGGCTCCGAACCGAGGGCCGATCGGCAAGCCGATTGGCCTTCGCCGCTCTGGTCTCCCCTCCCTGCTCGCCGCTTCCCTCCCAAGCGGCGGCGGCAGTTACAGAACATCTCCTGCGCACGCGCAGGAGACGCTCTTGTACTTTCGGGGGGATTTAAACATCCCCCCAAGATTTTTTTCAGCTTTTTTAATTTTTGTGCACACGTGGGGACTGGCCCACATGTACACAAACCTCCCCCGGCCCCCCAGCTGCCCCCGGAGCGCTGATTTAGCGATCCGCACTCCGGGGGCAAGTTCGCTATTAGATATATAGATTTTAGTTAAGATTCATAGTTTCACAAACTAAGCGCTGAGGTTGACTGCACTGTGTTCCTTTTTACTAATACTAGAATTTCAGCTGGTGTATCTAAAATTAGCACAGTGCTGATGCTCTTTCTGAACATAATTGCTGTATGTTGGAATGGTAATATTTTGTACAGGGAAAGCAGCTGAAAATAATCTATGTGGATCCCAACAGTCCTTCACCTGGCAGACAGTATTATGGATCAGTTCAACTAGTTGAGGTAAGAGCTGTGATAATTCACCGTCCTACAAAATCAAGAATTATTTTCTCTTTGCCTGTTTTATAGCATAGCATTGGAAACAACATATAAAATTGCTCTTCCTTCAAAATACGTTTTGAAATACTTAATGCTTTGCAGTTACATATTATGGGCCATATATAAAGAAACTGCATTGCAAATGTATGTATTAGCTGGCATGGAAAACCGGTTGTAATGATGCCTGTTTGAGGGTCTGCTGTCCTAGCCTTATGTACAGTTTGGACAAGTTTGGGCTATTTCTTTAATAGGCATATGAAGCTGCCTCTTGTCTAACGTAGCCCCTCTGACAGAGAAAGGCACTTACCACCTGAGGCCATTTAACTAGAAGTGAGAGTGGCTGAACTGGGACCTTCTGCATGTGAAGCATGTGCTCTGCTACTCAGACATGGCCCTTTCCATTTGATGAGGTGGAATATCTCCATGTATTACAGAATGAAACAAACAGTTTTGATAGCACCGTATCCTGCCCACAGGCCTGACTGCTGGCTCACACTACACTTTATGCTGGCTTAGTGCTCCCTAACGCTAAGGGCCCTTTGGGGGAGAGTAGTTAGGAAGTGATGGCAGTCTTTTGACTGGGGCTCCCTTAGACTCTTGTGAGGGTTTGCGGGGGGGCAGAGAAGGAATCTCATCCCTTTGTATGCACCAGCCCTCTGGAAAAGCTCAGCTCTCTCCTGGCTCACTGGCTTGTTGAAGAAGGACGAGAGAGAGAGAGAGGCTGGGTCGCGGAAGAGAGAAGAGAGAGAGAGAGAGAGAGAGAGAGAGAGAGAGAGAGAGAGAGAGAGAGAGACCTTCATAAGGCTGGGAATGTTACATGGTATTGTGATTAGAGTGGTGGACTAGGATCACAAACTCCCACCTGAGACCATTTAACATTCAAACTCCCACTCTGCCATGGAAGCTTCCTCAGCGACCTTGGGCCAGTCATACACTCTCAGGCTGTGAGGCTATATACAGGAGAGGAGGATGTAAGCCATTTTGGGTCCCCACTGGAGATGGGGTGTGTGTGTGTGTAAAGGAAGTCTATAAAGTCTGAATGAGGCCAGAGAGGATTGTACTTTTTAGTAGCAGTTGACTGTAAGTGAAGGATCTTTGAATGCAGGTGGTGTTTGGGGTTCTGTTGCAGAACTGATTATTGTGCTGCCTCCTTTAGAAATCTTTCTTGCTTCTAGTATACTTTGCTTGTAAATAAATAGATCATACAGAGACACTGTAAGTCTATAGTCCTCTTATCTGAAGAAGAAATCTTCCAGTGCTGCCTCTGGATTTCTCACCACTAGAGGCAGTGAGGAGCATGGAACAATGCTGTTGAAAAGTGAAACTGTAACATCAGCATCTAGTTATACTCTGTTGTTTTGCAATGAGTTCCTGGATTTATTTGCTATGTTTACCATTAGGCAACCGTTTGTTCTGATGGCGTAAAAGCTAACAGTCATACTGGGTTCTTGTCCACTTCATGTTCAGGCTGGAATGATTAAAAAAACATTCATATTTTGCCTTCCGTTACACATATGCTTGCTGATGGTCGGGGACGATTCCAAAGAAATTATGTTTTAATGTCTTGAGATTTTCCCTATAGGGATTTAAAACTGTGCTAGAGTAAGTCTGTCAACAGGGGGTGGATCCTTCTTCTAGCTCCTTAGCCACGGTCTACTAACGCCTCTCAAACTGCAGCATCTGCATGAGTAAGGCCTATTACACGCACACAGCTTACTGCAGAGAATCTAAGCAGTCAAGCCTTTAAGCTTGACTTTGGATTCTGTGCCAGCGGTACACACCATTCTTTTTTCTCAAGTGTATCTGCAGCTACAACAAAAAAAGCAGTTTTTTCTTAACTGGGGTGTGGGAGAGGGCAGCCCAGCTGGGAGTTATTTCTTTCCCCCCAGCAATCTGAGACTAGCGATAGTCTCAGATTGCTAGACTCATGCCATCTGTATATAAAAAAATTAAATGTAAAACATTAATTGTAAAAAATGTAAAACAATGAGGGACACAACGATGAATGGCAGAAGGTACAGAGTGGGTGGAATGACCATGATGTGGGTGGGGGAGTGACTTTCAAGGGGCAGCAAAGGGGCGGGGGGGGAAGCCAAGGGAATCTGTACACTTTTGAATTATCTTCTGCTCGCAAGTGAAACAACGGAAAAATTGGCACAAAACCACTCTCAGAAAACTTGGGGGAACAGTGTCTGGAAAGCGAACTGAGCGATGAAGGGCGGGGGCGGAATCAATGCAGAATGGAAAAAAGGAAAACCCAATGGACATGCACAGTGAAAGTAAGGCAAAACACCTGTGCATTAGAGGCCAGTTTGGTGTGAGAGCCAGTTTGATGTAGTGGTTAAGTGTGTGGACTCTAATCTGGGAGAACCAGGTTTGATTCCCCCTCCTCCACTTGCAGCTGCTCGATGACCTTGGGCAAGCCATAGTTCTGTCAGAGCTGTCCTTGAAAGAGCAGTTCTCTCAAAGCTCTCTCAGCCCCACCTACCTCACAGGGTGTCTGTTGTGGGAAGGGGAAGGGAAAGGAGTTTGCAAGCCGCTCTGCGTCTCCGAGTGAAGGGTGGGGTATCTTCTTCTTCTAACAGCATTTGGTAGGTGACGCCTGCTGTGCATAGCAAATGAGACTTGTGTCTATGGAGGTATACACTAATGCCATAGCCCTTCCATGAATAATACATTGTGAATAAGCTGTGGGGTCTTGTGAGCAAAAATTCTACTTTGTGAGCTATTGGCATTAAAGTTGTGAGTGAGCAATTTGGCTACTGCATAAATTAGTTTGCTCTGGAGCCCTCCTTCCTGATCTAAGACAAAAATGTGTGAGCCAGAGACTAAAAAACGGTGAGCTAGCTCACACTAACTCAGCTTAGAGGGAACGCTGGTCCCAAACCCTTTTTGTGCTCCCTAGTATCAGCTAATTATGATTCCAAGAAAGTGCTTTCAAACATGTCCTTTATGGAATATTATCTCCTTAGATAACGGCCTTTTGCATATTCCAATCAAGTGTTCAGGGCAGTGACTGATACATCCCAGTTGCTTCTTTTCTGAGTGGCTACTGTATGAAAATTAGCCTCTTTGTTCATAACCTTCAGATAACAGTTCACATGGAGCCTGATAGAATGGAAATACATCAGACTGGCCAGAGTAAAAATGTTTCCTTATAATTAGGGAGACAGTTTATTAGCAGTCTCTGATCCACAGATGAACCCGGAAAGGACAGGTCTCAGGCAAAAGACAGAGAGACATTCTTCTGGTCTAACAAATTTAGAGTCCAATGGAACCTTCTGGTCCGTTTCATCTGCTTCACCATCCCTGTAAGGTGCAAAGTGTATCAGGAGATATGGATTCCAAGAAGCAGAGACTGACCTTCCTCAATAAAGCCCCATCTCTTGCTTGCCTTTTCATCGTGTAGCATGACCTTGTTGTCAATTGAAAATATGATTATTGGAAAATAACATCATAAAACAAAGCCCCGTGTTTTTCACCGTGTGCAATTCTTATATTTAAAAAAAGATAGCTATCACTTAGCACTTTCCTCCTTTCTGAATATCTTTTTAGAGGAATCACAAATGAAAACTTTTGCTTCTACTTTCGTTCATTCCATTTTTTTCTCATCCTCCTTCCAAGGAGCTCAGGGTGGCACTTACAGTTCTACCTTCCTCCATTTTGTTGTAACAAAAACCCTGTGGAGTAAATTGTGCTGAAAAAGAATGACTAGCCCAATTGCATCCATTGAGGCCCACATCGAGCAGGGATTTGAACCCGGGCCTCTGTGCTGCACTGGCTCTCTGCCATCAGCACCCAATCTTTCCCTCTTTTGAGTCTCTTGTCTTGGTACTGCACAGTGGTAGTTTCTTTTTTTAATCAACATGCCTAAAGAGAGAAAGAGAGTGTGTGCAGAATGTGTAATTTATCCCAGAGCAGACTTTCATTGTATTTTATTGTCCAGGGAAACTTCAGACATGCAAACACCAATAAGCTGGTATTTCGAGAAGAGCTGATGACAATCCTGTCTAGACTGGATGGATTACACATCAGAGGGCTGTATTTCACAGAATCTCAGCGGTTAACATTGGGTGAGGTTGGACTGGAAGAAGCCAGCGGGACAGGAACTGGCAACATTGCCTATAATGTAGAGACCTGTTCCTGCCCTCCTCAGTATGTTGGTGATTCATGTCAGGTGGGTGATTTTCTTTGTCTGTATCATTAATAAGACATTACTCATAATAACCATTATTGATTTAGCTATAGCAATGGGAGACTGATGGTTCATACAGATTGGTTTAAACATGCAGAAAAGATACATTTATGATGGATCTTGCATAGTGGACCTTAGTTTGTAGCCTCCTTGATCTCAGAAGAGCACTCTGCACAATTGTAACTTTAGACCCTGACTCGGCCCAACTCCTCTTCTGTGCTACTACCATTTAGTGTGGGAGTCCCTTCCACTTTAAATTAACAGTCATTAGTAATGGCCATGCTGTTCAGTCCCCATTTCACCCATCCACTGCTAAAGGACTTTCAACATAGGAATGTGTATATACTAAATGTCTTTATGAGATATTGCTTGTTGGACTTAGTCAAAATTGTTCAAGAACAGAAGAGGGAGGAGAAGTTTGTGCTCAGACCTTTTTGAATTTGGGAATTGGTGGTTGACTCTTGGCTTTGCTGAGATGCAGAATAGTATTCATGCTCTGAGTCTAAGAATATTAGGGTGGTTAAGTTTACGTGGCACAGAGGCAGATAACATCACCTAGTAAATAACATACCATTAAGCCTCTATTGAAGGGACAACATTTTTTCTCCAGGCAACTGGCAATCCTGATGATGGCTGTAGATAACATTTCATTGTTCATTTTACCTTACACCTGTACATGGTTGCTGACAGAAGAATTTTCTGTGAATGGAACAGAAACATAAAAACAGTTGCTTGAAATATGTGCATGGCACAGTTCGGCCTAGGTGTTGCTGTACCAAAGAGTCTTTACTCTTCCATACTGTTTCGCTAAAATCTGTACCTCTTGTGTACTAGAATTCTCCTTACCACTTGGAAAGGTGGTGCAGATGGCCAAATGTCCTTGGGCTAGTTCATTTATTTCTGTTGGGCTGTTACCTTCAGAGGGACCAAAGGTAAAGGAGAACTTAAAATAATTTCGTAGTACGGTAGATGGAATTTTTGCAAATATAGCTTGTCATGCAGGAGTGAGAAAAGTTGAATTCGCTGAACTTCCTCCTTCTACATAATCATTAAAGGACTCTTTCCTCTAGGTGTCATTTCCTATCTGGTTTTTTTTTCATGTAAACATATTTAGGATTACTATGTAAGTCTGTCAGCTTTCTTCTCAAGTTGCATTAAAATACTCCTTGTTGAATGTCAATTTGAAAATATTTTCAGTGGTTATTTTAAAACAACATTCACAGTCTGCTATATGATGAATCCAGTTGGTTAGCCTGCCAAGGCTTTTGCTGAATATACATACAAAAACTTCCCAGGTCTGTTCCCATTCACTACCTCTAACATGTCTATTTTGTGCCGTTTTGCTTCCCCTCCGGGCTTATAAAAACCTGTAGCCCAAAGGAAGCCATACGACTACTCATGCCAGTAGCTCCCACACCCTGCATGTTTCTACAGAATTACTCAGCCAGTGATTTACAGTTTTAATCATCTAGTACTGTCTGACTGTGTTAGGCAGAGAAAAGGGGATGCCTGCCACACCTTAATTCAGGTGCGCGTTCATTTGCAGGAATTACAGAAAGGTTCATTAACCTCAGGAACTGTTATGTGTTGCACAACCTGACTCAGGCATAGAGTTTAAAGGAGGGGCATATCACATACAGACTCGCTTATCTGAGTCAGAAGCCAAACAGTAAGAGGTAGTATAAGAAAAGGGCTGTGCAGGATTGCATGTGAGCAGTGCAGCCTAAAGCTAAGCAAAATGACGGCCAGAATGCAGAGGCCAAGTATTATAGGATGGCTAATTTTGTGCATGGGCCTGAGGCATTGCATGGGACATGCTATGCAACAGCGGGTAGTGTTTCCTTATCTTCAGGGCCAAGGGCTACAGCAACAAAATGACTGGCATTTTAAACCGAGACAGGTAATGTGTGTTCGCTCTCTTTTTCTTCTTCCTTCCCTTATAAAAAATGCAAAAAAAGTGCTTTATGCAGTGTTTGGGGCCAAAACAACCAAAAAGGAAATCTCTTTATCTATTGAGCTACATTATCCTCTCAACAAATGGGAATTCTCTTTCTGAAACTTAGTGCTGTTACGCCAAGCTTATTTGTTTTTTTCTGTTGCGCTGAACTTTTGGATGAAAGCATGGCAATGCTTAAACAGACAGGGCATGAATATTTTGCTGTGCATGTGGCAAAACAGACATGGGTGACTTGGCTGAGTCTTGGCATGTCTGTGTGGGATCCTAAATATAAAATCATTATCTTTACAGGACATCTTATTGCCCTGCAAGACATCAGTGGGAAATGCAGTTTGACAGTCTAGGGAAATTGTCTTTAATTTTAGAAGTAACTTCTTGTTATTTTTGTTTGCTAATTTCACTGGATGGTCAGAAGAAAATGCAGCTTACTTTAAACTGTTTCATTCCTTTTAGTTTATAAAAAGTTCCCTTCAGTAGCTTGTTGGATTGGGTCATCAGTAGCAGTAGAAAAGAGCAAGAGTCCAGTAGCACCTTAAAAACTAACAAAATGTGTGGTGGGGTATGAGCTTCCGTGAGTCACTGCTCACTTCTTCAGATACCGGTTTCTAAAGAAGTGAGCAGTGACTCGCAAAAGCTCATACCCCACCACACATTTTGTTAGCCTTTAAGGTGCTACAGGACTCTTCCTCTTTTCTACTGCTACAGACTGACTAACATGGCTACCCATTTGGGTCATCGGTAGTTTTATTTCTGCAGTTATAATCCAAACCTTAAATTCATGCAGGTGGCCACCCTAAGATAATAGCCCCTCGTGAATGGAGTCCTTAGTTCTAAAATTTGTATTACTGCCATCCATGTAGCACTTCTAATTTGCAAAGTGTTTTATAGCCTTTATAGTGTTTGTCTTTGTGACACTTCTGTGAGGTAGACTGATGCAGTTCATGTTTTACAGATTAGGAGTTTAGCTTGATACATATATTTGGGAAGTGGGCCAATCCATGGCAACGAGAGGGCTTATGGAAACACACAGCTCACTGCTTACTGAATCCAGTAGTTTAGCATCATGAACTCCATATCTGTTTTGCATTCACTAGTCTCAGGTACACAATCCTTCGTTCATCAAATATAGCACAGAAGGCTAGCATCTGGTTTTCATGTATTCAAACAAAGTAATGAGTTGCTCCTGGTGATTGTCAAAATCATATGGCAACAGTTGCATTTAGGATTTTGCTTTACCAAAGTCTACAAATCTGCTACCTAGTCTGTTAAATCTGCATCTAGCAGTTTTCATAATTAAATAGTAATCTGATCTTGCAGAAATTCATTCATATGAATGGATATGTCACTTAAGAACGTAATAAATCTGCAAGTAAGGCTTTGTATCTCCCTCCCAAACTGCTTTTCTGTGCTGCAGCATCTAAATGCTTATGTGCAAGGTAAACATGTGTCTTAAATCTTGTGAGAGAAAAGCAGCTGAAAAGAGGCAGGGGGAGTTACGAGAAAAAAAACATCCAGATTCTACCCAAGTCAAGCTTTTGGATGCTGCAGAAGTAGAATGCGTGACAACTATAGTCCCACTCTGAATATGATACTGAAATTTAGTCTTTAATTTGGGAAGGACTTCCCCCCTAGTATATGCCATTAAATTAAGGTCTAATATCGATAATCTGAGGACACAGGCATGGGATTCTGGAGTAGAAACCTGCAATCAATGTATCTGAGGGGCTAATAAAATCTGCTCAATGGGGCCAGGCGTGAAGGGGGAGAAGATTCTGACGGAACCCTAAAGTATGCAACAAAATCAGTCTTCCTCCCCTTAATGCCCAAATTGGGGCAACCCTCCCCAAAAACCTGGTTCCTAAGATCTGCATATGCATACTGTGGACCACTAAGATTGCAAAGACTACAGAAATAGCACCTGAACTCTTGTCAGACTTGTAGTGCCATTTTGAATTGTTAACCAGTTAGGAATCCAAAGCTTCCAACTCAACATTGTGCTACGGGCAGTCGCAACACAGTACAAACTGTTCAGCCAAGGATCAGATTTCAGTTTGGGTATCTGATCCTTAACCAAGGGCACTGTATTCTGTGAACAGGCCCTATGGCATAATGTGAGTCATACACTTTGGTGTCTGTCTGCTTAGTATGCCAGTCCAAAATAGTACTAGAAATCTCACAATATGATCTTGTAGGACGCTGGATTCCGTTATTTTATCCAGCTAGTTGCTGAGGTCTGCTTACAACTATTTGGAGGAGGAGGAGAATGATGAGGAAGAATGAGACTGATAAGATAAAGGGATAAGATAAAGGAAGACCCACTGCAGTTCTGAAATGATAAAGTTAAAGGGAAATACTCATGGCCCACTTCAGTTATTCTGGGGGAAAGATTTTGGGGTCCAAAAAGAAATTTCTAACTATTTCCTTTGAATCTGCCAAGGCAGAGCTCTCTATGAATCTATGGCCTTGAAAGATGCTGCAGAAGAGATGTAAAAGTGATCCTGTTTATCATTGGAGCATAGAATGAATGGTATCTGATCCCATAGATTGTAAAAGGGTGTGGTTTAGGTTCTCCCAGCCTTCTCAACTGTTACATCATCACATTTGTCTAATTCTGGACCACATTTTTAACAGCTATGTTTCTTTAGTTTCTTTGTTGTTATTTTTCAGCTCGTCACAATCCTTTTTCCTGATCATAAAAAGAGCAATTCCCTTTTTCAAAGGCTTCTAGCTAATGAACATTCTTTTCATGCTTTACTTGTGTTTAGGGCAAGTCTGTACGTACAGATTGTACTGCATATTAAAGAATGCCTCACATTGTCTAAGCTTGGCTTCATATACCTTCGGGTCAGGAAATCGGGATGAGTTAATATAGCGGTGACATCATTCCACAAGTACTTCTGAAAATCATCATTTAGTATATATGTTAGGACATGCTAATTAACAAATCTGAATCTGGATTTAAAAACATCAAATCAAAACAATATAATGAAGACTTTACTCTTCTGAGTCGTACTCTCAAAATATTATTCATCAGATACAAATTTCCCTGCATTATTCATAGCCTCAGAATCCTTCTACAATTCAGATCATGGTGTGTCAAGAAAAAAAAATCATTATAATTCTAGATCTGGGCTGCGGGGGGGAGGGTTGTCATGGTTGCATACTTATGGTGAGAACATTACTGGTTCGGGACTCAAATTCATGTGGTTCAGAGTCTGAGACCATTGTTTTCAATGCAGAATGTATATGAGGGTCTGTGGCAGCTGTTTAGAAAGGTAATGCCATCAAATTTGCACACAACACAGTTAATCTAAAGATACCCCCCTCCCAGTTTCAAGTGAATTGGACCAAAAGGGTCAATTTTACAGACCTCCTAAGTAGGTACTTCTCAGTGCACTCACTGATTCCTAAAACAGCGGTAGTAGGAGAACTTCAGCCGGTTATGGCATTTTAAAAAAGGTTTGCATTTCCCTTCTCTTATAGTGACTGACTGATAATAAAAAAATCTTACCTTTCCACTGAAAGCTCTGCATTTACCTTCCTTCCTTGTGGTGGCCTATTTGTTTCTTTTCATAAAGTGGCTTCCTTTGCAGACTCCCCATCCCTTTCTGTTGGTCTGGGAATGTACCAAAACGAATGACAAGAATGCCTATTTGGAACAATGAGAGAAACCTGCCGCTTGACGGCCCATTGGATGTAATGGGACCTGGGAATGCCAAATGACTGGGCATAGGCTCCATTAAAATAAACAATAGCACACAAAAGATGCAAAGAAAATGCAGAATGTTTTATGAGAAATATTTCCTGGGCCTGGCATGACAGTCTCTAGAGTGGAATGACTGCCCTGGGCTCAGATAAAATGCTCTGGGATGGGAATGACAATGCCCAGAGTGGAATTATGGCCTCTGGGGCTGGAACCAGTGCTCTGAGGGCTGTCCCAGAGCAGTTTATACATGGTCCCCACGGGCTGTCAGTCCAATCTAGGTGCAGTCATTCCAGTTCCTGAGCTGGTTATCTGGGCCCAGGGATTCTCATTCCACTTGGAGGCTCTAATTCCAGGCCCAGAGCAGGCTTCTTAAATCATTTCTGCATCTTCATAGCAGGTTTTGTGTGCCATAATGTATTCTAGTGGAGCTCATGCAAGTCAATTGCCATTCCTCGGTACCATTGTATCCAGTGGGCCTTCAGGTGACAGGCTGCTTCCATTGTTCCCAAAAGGCATTCTTAGCTTTCATTTGAGTACATCACCTCCTCCTCAGAACTCCCTCCCCATCCCTTCCTGTCAGTCTGCTATTATTTGCTCTTGGGGACTTTCAGGGAGGCCGGAATGGTTGTTTCTCAGTTTCAAACAAATGACACCAAAATTGCAGTGGAGTGAGTGCTGCCTGACCTTTAAAGAATCACCATGTTTCAAGAAAATTGAACTAAGAGTTCAAAGTTTACAGACCCCTGAACAAGCTGCCCCCAGCTCTCTATTTTTGCAACCATAGTATTTGCAAAGAACAAAAGGGCTCCTTCCCCCACAAAGGCATGATTGAGAGAAAATAGCAGCTCTGGGCAGCTTGTCTCCAAAGGTGATTGGCTGGGAGTTCTCAGTTCTCCTTTCTTGCAAGGCTCTGATGGAAAGGAGACATGCCCAGGAAATCAGTGGAACCAAAGAAAAAGTTAGGCTTGTGCTGCTTTGCTGGTAAGCACAGGAATAAACAACAACAAAAAGGATTGTTTGGGGGGAAGGGATTCATTATGCCAACAGCACCCCTGGATGTTCCAGGAAATCACTGTACCAACCTGAACCAGGTATATCTGTCTCTATCTTCTGATTGGCAGTCTTGTTATACACACACCCCTAGTTCATATTGTTGTGTTAAATTTTGGATAGAATGTGATGGGTGGATTTTGTAGTGCCAGTGCAACTACTTTTCAAATGCTTAGGAAGGTATTAGGAAGCAGCTATCTTGTCATATGTTAATGCTCAGCAGTTAGATTTTTCTGTGTTAGAAGAAGTTCTCTAAAGTTATCAGCACACAATTGTTTAACTTTTTCCTCCCATTCATGTGGTTAGGAGTGCAGCCCTGGATTTTATCACGAGAGCAAAGGCTTATTTGCAGGACGGTGTGTTCCTTGCAATTGTAATGGAAACGCAAACACATGCCAGGATGGCTCTGGAACTTGTATTGTAAGTAAAAATGACAATCTTTACTGAAATGTATAGCTGTTCTTAAATTATTCATTTGTTAAAATCTCTGATATACCTCTTGGGCCTTTTGTTTGTACCCAGCTGCTCACTCTATAAGTTATTCATTCTAGAAGAGAGATTCTGTTCGTGCAATACCCAGAGTTGTTCCTTCACTTATTAGGGAAGCTTATGTGTGCAAGACCTTCTTAGGTATGTAACAGCACATATGGGTCTGTAAATGGGAGGATTTGGCTTCCTAACAGTAGCAACAGTGAAACAACCAAAGAAAAAGCATCATGTAGATGTTTAAGCTGTTTGGATTTTTTACAAAGGGTTGTGTTTTTTTTACTCACTCCAGTATGATCAGTACTTAGATATTATCGACACAATACTTACACAACTATTTCCATATCAAGTTTGCTACCATATTTTTAAATGGATAAAACCATGGTCCAGCTTGGATAATATGTCAGCTCTGTGCCCAGGGAAGCGCAGGAGGTGGGAGGGCACAGCTTGCATTCCCACTCAGCCATCCACAATACTGGGTCTGCCTCTCTCACCCCAGTAGGCAGCCATATGGTGGTATATGTTCAGATGGTGCATATGTTCCCATACATGTAGCTTAAATCCTACATTTTCAGTGCCTCTGCTCATTGGACTCAGCCAAATTAGATGTTACACCACTACATGGACCCCCTTTGGCATAGAAGATGGGAGCACAATCTGGGTGGGTAAATTAAGGGGGACACCTGTTTTTCACTTTATGCAGGCTTGGTATGTTGTCCAAATGTGGACTATAAGTAAGTATTATGAGTTGGATCAAATTGTTAGACATATGTGTAAGACTATAGTAGAGCCCGTAAAACGTCATAAAGGTTGTTCAGAAAATTTCAAAAAGTACAAATATCTGGGCAGGCTCCCATCCCCAGCATAGCCCCCTTCCCACTGGGCAAACCGAATGCCCAGGAGACCCTTGCCCAGAATGGAAGGCAGTGGGGAACCCAGGGACAGTGACCAGCCTGGTAGGGTAGGCAGGAGCGGGCCCCAACCAAGCAGGGGCCCCACTGTGATTAGAAAGGAGGATGGGAGACATGGACAGCCTGGCGTTGGCCTGCAGGGGCAAAGGCCAGTGGTCAGGAAGAGCCAGAGTAAGAAGAAGCTGGAGAAGGGAGTAGGGCCTGATACCTTTAAAGCCCAAGAGGGAAAGGACAGGCAGCCCTGAGAGTGGGTACCCACCCTCCAGGAAGAGGCAGGGGTGAACCCTGATTGGGGCCAAGGGTGGTACGTAAGAGAGGCTTCCAATCTAGGACTGAGGGAGAAACTGGGGTGGGGCATACAGTGAGAGCAAATGTGAGCTCACTCAGGTTGAAGAAAGAGGACCAGGGTGCTTGAACCCCCTTCTCCTTCCCATTCTGAGGCTGGCAGGGAGGCTGGCCCAAACTCATCCAGGATGGCAGAGGGGCAAGTGAGTCAGTACAGCAAAGCCTTACAACAAATTACTTAACTTGAATGATGTGCACAATGATTGCAACTTCTGCCTGTATTTAATCTTTATTTTTGGGTGCTATCGGTTAAAAATGGGGTATGATCTTTTAAAAATATAGCTTTTGGAGTTTATTCTCTTTGGATAATTTGGTTTGGGCTACATTTAGCTTACACAATGCTTGCCATGAATGTGGCTGTGTATGATGGTATGGCACCTCAAGTAAAGCTAGGTTTACATTATCTTTTTGCTTTACAAATTATTATAGAACTACATGTTACAAGAGACACAGAGCTGCCACCACTCATTTCTGTCTTCTTAATGAGGCATGCTTTATCACAATGTGTCATTTCACAGTGTAGTCTCTCCCTGCCTCCAAAAAAACTGGCTGTTGGAGGTTGAGTGCGGGGAGCAAACAGTACAATGCTGTCCCATCATGCACTGTAAAAGACAAATCTCATTCCCAGGTAGACGGGGAAGAGGCACAGAGTAGCAGCAGCAGATCCATGTCTCTAATAATATGTGGTTCTGCCCAACATAAGAGGAATGTGGTTATGTGCACTGGAAATGGACAGCTGTAATGCAGACATAGCTGAAAAAGATCAGTCAGGCATATTTCCCCCTGACCGCAGCTAACTGTGGCAGCATCCCTAAAAGAGGGTAATGTGCTGCTCTGTCATGACGCACAGCTATCAGTACCCTTCAAGGCAAAAGGGCTTGCATCAGCAGCAGGCTTTGAGAAATCATAATCCTGGTTTATTATGTTTCAGTGCTTTTATCTCATCATTTTGCTCTTAAAATTTTTTCCTCGGATCTTTTAAAAGTTTCTTTTTTCCCCTAGTGTAAATGCATAGACTGCCAAATTCATTACATGGTTGATTCCCTCTCTCGTTTCCTCGTCTTTTTACATGCTGCAGTACTTACCTTAACTTTTGGTTTTGACAAACCCCTTTGAGTTTAATGAAGGAGTCATAAGCCAAATCAGCATGTTCCATGAGCTATATGAATCATAAGGCATATTTGATTGGAGAGACAGACAGGCCATGACAAGAGAAAACAGCTGCAGGAAGATCAGGAGGGAGAGTTTTGTAAAACTTTAATTGTTTGGCATCACTAACCATCCAAGCTTAAAGTGACAGTGCAGTCCTAAGGAGAATCATACCTTTCTATGTCTATTGAAGTTAGCAGAATTAGAAGCGTGGATCTTAGTTTAGAATTGCACTGTTAGTTTCATATTTTTATTTTCGGCATCATATTTTGCCCTGGCATGGATGCCCCTGGTAGGCTTGACCTCATCAGATCTCAGCTGCTAAGCAGGGTCAGCCCTGGTTAGTACTTCGATGGGAGAACACCAAGGAAATCCATGGTTGCTACACAAAGGCAGGCAATGGCAATTGGTAAGCCACCTTTGAACGTCTCTTGCCTTGAAAACCCTGTGGAGTTGCCATAGCTCAGCTGCAACTTGATGACACTTTCCACCACCAAATACAGCTTTAATTCTGTATGTGCATCTAATATTCTAACGTCTCTGATGCCAACTGGGTAGAACTATCTGTACCAATTTCCCTTTCATCAAGTACAATTTATTTGCTACATTTTGCATTGCTATAATTTATTTATTTATTTTATTTATTTCTTCAAATTTATACCCTGCCCTCCCCGCCAAGGCAGGCTCAGGGCAGCTTACGCAATAAAAGCAGAATAACAATAAATATCATAGACATTTAAGAAAGTTCATTAAAACAATATTGCATTGATAGTAAAGTGCTAGCGATTATGTTATGATGTCATATAGATGGCGTTATACATTCTGTAAATTAACTTGGTATTCAGCTTGATGGTCTTTCTCAAAAATGGTCAGCGAGCGCAGGCTGTCAATAATAAACCAGGCACCAGGCTTTTATTGTTATTAAGGTGATGGTAGTAGTAGTAGTGTGAATGAATTGGTTTGAAGCCTTGAGGGAGATAAACTGTAGTGTTCTCTTCCTAATAATGATGAAACTGAGAAATTGAGTTGCTGTTAATTTTCTGGTTTATACGTATATCTATGTATTTTTTTAAAAGAACTGCCAACGTAATACCGTGGGGGAGAAATGTGAACATTGTAAAGAAGGTTACTTTGGAGATGCCAGTCAAGGAACGTGCAGGGAATGTCACTGTCCTTATTCAAACAGGTACTGTTGGTTTGCGTAGGACATATTGTTTTTATTGTGCTTGGCTCAGAATTTTCAAGCTGTTATTTTAATGAAAAGAGCTCTGTTCACTAAGTGTTGTTTCCATTTTAGTGCTTAGTTTGTTTGTTTTAAATGAGCTTAAGACCCTAACTTCGATGTCCCAAGCATATTTTTTCCCCATTACTGCTTCTCTACTTTTGATTCTACTGTGGTTTTCACAAGACGCACCTGTACGTCTAAGTCACTATGAATGTACTTAGCATACTTTGGGATAGGATGGGGAGCCTTCTTTCCTTTAAAATGTCTATAAAGGATGATAAGGATAATGATGGTGGCTACCTTTGGTTTGAATCCTATGATCTAAAACTGATCTATGAATAAAAGGTAACAATCAACTGTTCGTTTGCATATGTTATTCATTACAAAACTGGTTGAGGTATACGTTCTATTTTGAAGAAGAATTATATTCAAGAAAGCAAGGGTATCCAAACCTATTGCAAATTCTTATTCTTTTTAATAATTTTATCTTTTGAGATGCTGTGTATCTCTTCATACTAAGTATGCTTTCTCAAATTAGAACACTTAATGCATAAGGTTGCTCTAAATTGGGAGCAACTTGATGATACATAATACACACAATCCTTTTAATTTAATCCTGAACATAAGGAATGGGACGGAATCAGGGAAGACTCCAACCATCTGATTTTCTTGAAGCTACACAGTTTGTCCAAGATTATATAGATGAGATGTAAGCAACAAACTGTGAAAGAGGAAATGACCAATTCCTCCGGTACAGAGCCTTTTTGTGCCTGCACTGTGCTTGATGAGTGTGGTGGGACCGAGGGAACGAAACAGGTGTCACATGCTCTTGAAATAAATGTAAGGTGCTGCAGCAGTGAATGTCACTGGCATAAACTACTTTATTACATGAGCCCAAAATAAATAATGAATATTATTTACAGGAAGGGTGTAACAGCGTTATTCAGCACTGAATACAACTGTGGAACCTCTGCTTAAATGCATTTGGGCTAGACATGCCAGGAAGAGCAGTAGATGTTTCTACTTGCTCAGAAATCAGTTGGCGTCTTTTTCTTATTGACAAGTTTGCTTTGTTTTCAAGGATGAAATGCCTGCTGGAGGATTAGGAGTGCATTCAGTACACAGGAAAAAAGATGATACCCAGCTCTGGGTTGAAAAATCCCTGGATATTTTGTTGGGTGGAGCCTAGTTTAGGGAGGGGAGGGTCCTCAGCAGGGTGTAATCGCAGACAGTCCATCTTCCTAAGCAGCCATTTTCTCCCCAGGGAACTGATCTCAGTAGCCTGGAGATCAGCTACCACATGGAGGTTGACAACAGTGTTCCCTCTAAGCTGTGGGGACTTATGAGCAAAAACTCTACTTTGCGAGCTACTGGCATTAAAGTGGTGAGCAAGCAATTTGGCTACTGCATAAGTTAGTTTGCTCTGGAGCCATCCTTCCTGAGCAAAGACAAAAATGTGTGAGCTGGAGGCTAAAAAACCGTGAGCTAGCTCACACTAACTCAGCTTAGAGGGAACATTGGTTGACAACCTTGATATTCTGGCAGCAATTTATATTTTTTAATTTTACATGGTATATAATCTGGAAGCCATATTAAATGTGGCTTTAGATCTTTATTTTTAGAAAAATTAAGAATTCTACATAATAAACAAACAGTTCCTAAGTTCCATCTCATGAATATGACATTGTTCTTTCTCATAGCTTTGCTGTTGGCTGTGTGGAAAATGGTGGAGAAATGCAGTGCGTCTGCAGAGAAGGATATACTGGAGTGCACTGTGAAAGGTGTGGGTCTTGCCTCAAAACTGTGTTTTTGTGTAGAAAGTTCAAGCAGATTGCCTCAGTGGAAAACAAATGTCACATTGTATAATGTTACGTGTACTAAGCTGTGCCATATTCACATGGTTGGACTGTAGTCCAGAGTGCTGCAGGGTTTCAAGACACACGCCATGCTTTCTACAAAAAGGAGTTGTTACATTTTCTTCAGTGATTGAGAATGGCTGTGTGTACTGCACACTTCGTGGCTTTGAAGTGAATTGCTCAGAGTTCTGCCTGCGTGGCAAAACTTTCAGATTTGAACACTGCTGTCAAGTCTTGGTGCAATCCAGAGAAAGTTATGGTCAAGTTTAAGTGATTTCAGCAAGTATATTTTTCTTTTTCTGGATGATT